TTGTTTACTCTACACTCACGTTAGTATATTATCTTTCTATCAACAGTATCTCGTTAGAACTTGATATTATCTCATCATCAAGCAAACAATCTACATATGATGATCCGTTAAATTTTACAATTCTATTAGTGAAAAAATACTTCTGTCTAAACTCTTTGATACTTTTTGGATTCTCAATCAAAAATGGGTAATTTAGTAGTTCATACATTCCTTTGTAAAAGCAAACCTTAACAGGCGCCTCAATACTTCTCTGGATAACCAAAAATCCCATACTTGGGTCTAGTACAGAATCGTCAGAAAGAACTCTAACATTTACAGATTCCTTATGTGTCTCGATAACACTTAAATCAGACTCATCCTGTAAGACACCCATACAAGTAAATGTAGATCTTCTAAAACTCCTTATGAGATCACTAACGCATGCTTGTTGCGGAAGTATAAAGGTATGAACATGATCAATATGATTAATATCAAAGGAATCGTGCTGAACGCCAACATAATAAAGATTTCCAGATGTAATTTCGCACCTTACTCGATTTTTTTTATCTAAAAGACGCTGATCATTCTCTGTTTTGATTACAATAGCTGTACTGTGAAAATTCTTTCTAATTTCAGCCAATAGGCTATCCTTATCAAGGCTACGCTGAATAAATATGGGAATAAGCAATTCTTTCAAAACTATACCCACTATTTGATGATTATAAAGACATCTCATGAAATCTAAGAATTGTGAATCTTCAGGAGCAATTATAAGGGAATCAGCCTGATTGATTTGATCAAAGGAAGAAATCACTTTAAGACTATTGCTTCCGCAATTTTCCTTATAAACTACAAAATTCTCATAAGGAGAATGTGATTTGAAATCATCAAAGCTTTTCAGAGTCTTTTCACCTAGTGAATACAAATTTCTAGGGTATGTGCACCATGGCTTATCCTCAAAAATCTTCAAAAACACAAAAATATCATTTTTATCTGTATTTGAAATATAATAAAACTCTGAGATTGGGGCACAATCATGTACTAACTTAAAATTTGCATCAAAAATAGACTTTTTAGGGAAAATCTTGCTAAGATTGTCAGTTTCAACACACGTCATAGTCCTTGAGGTTACAACAGGATATGAATAGTCGCTAATGTTAAACCTACCAGGGCCGCCATATCCCATCACATCATTAGAATCTAAAAATTTGACGTTCTTCATAGAAAGTGATGCTTTCAATTTTTGAGCAAGATCTTGAGGTACCATTTCAGAGATATTAAAATTGGGAAAGTGGGACACACCATCATCTTTGCAATAAACGAGATAGTATGCAGAAAATAACTTCTCTCTACTTGTATTATTTGGATAAGCTCCTCCAAAATTCCAATCAATTGTTTCATATTTGGAGCATTCATAAACTGAATCATCGTTAAATTTGAAAAACTTGTCTCCAAAATGTAAATAGCAGTAAAAATGACCTTCATCAACCAATCCGCTATGTACAATAACACTGAAAAGCTTATATCTATTGGAATAGGCATTGAAGTTTGTACTCTTTTTTCAAAATTGTCACAAATGTCATCGTCCACTTGTAGTCTCATTTTGCTAACTGTAAGCTTTTCATTATGAGTTGCTTCAACATTATCTACATCAGAAACATTTACATTGTTCGCCTTATATGCATTGTTATTCATTTTATTGTTCGTTTTATCCACCATAAATTCAGAAAAATCCAAAAATTCTGGAAATTCATATTTTTGATTGATTTTCAAATATTTTTCAGATTCCCAGTCAATCCAAAATCTATTTAAAAGAATGAATATTGAAGATGGCAGTTTACTAAAAAACACCCTCCTTGTAGCCTTTACCACCCCATGTTTCTCACAATTAAAGTCATCAATATTAATTGGTCTACAGAACTCTCTCAAAGACTCCTGAATTGTTTTGTTAGTACGATTCTGATAGAAATCTTTAATAACCATCTGGAGATCTTGAAATGTTTCGTTAGTCTTAGAAGTACAACCGTGCTCACATTGAACAATACACATCGTTATTCCTTCAATTGTTTCTTTGATAAGATCCTTATTTTCGGATTCCAAGACATCAAACAAATATTTGGAAAATTCATGGACATCCTGATGCTCGTTAATATGCCTAACGAAAGATAGATTCTTAATTAAATTCTGGACTCTGTCCCTCACAACCATCAAATTGTTACATGTATTATGTGCTGCTATATCCTTAAGCTTGCTAATATTTGGTATACAACCTGAAAGTGCATCTTGATTCTGAACGCATAGGCTCGCATTCATTGTATCCAAAGCATAGAATAATCTCTGTAGAAGTGTGCAATGATACCCATTGCTCTTGTAAAGAAGCTCTTTAAAATTCTTCAAGTAGTAAATTGTTTGCAGAAAACTGTTAATGTAACATGTGGCACCTAAATTTTCTAAGCCTGCAAGTGGAGGCTTCTTCTCCGAAAGAACATCCAATTGAAGTTCAACACGAACAGAGACGTTACTACAATTCAGTTTTAGGTCTTTCAACGTAATAGAAAAGGAACTTGAGAAAAGAGAGAAACCATAATTAAATTCAAAAAGAGTTTCCGAGACAATCAAAGAAATATGACAGAATATATCTTTATAGGATTTTCCATGGTACTCAATAGTTAAATAAGGATCGGTGTAGTTCAGTTTAAAGGGAATTGTATCAATCTCGAACAGGGGAGTTGTTTCTTTTGACTTCTTAAAAACATAAGTAAACATAGGGTAATAAAAATTTGAAGATGAAAATTAAGAAGAAAGTATAAAAGGAGCAGTACAAGAAGAACTACAAAGAGAGGATGATATAAAACAAAGATAAAACTCAAATAAGCAATGCAAAATTCTATAAATGAGCATAAACATGTCAAATTGGAGTGGATTGATCAAATAATCTTGTAATATAAACTTTATTGGCTAATATTTTAACGTAGATCTACAAATTAATATAAAACCCTATGCATAGATGCATTTATAACATGAGATATCACTTTATAGCCATTTTTACTTTGTTGTTCTTTGCTACCCCACATGGATGATTTTGAAGATGAACTAAAAGAACAGTACACAGGAAGAATAGACATTAAAGGCGCATTATCTGGGTCATTTCCAGGAGAAAAGTCTCTTTTAGAAGAATTAAGCATAGATCTAAATATGATAAAGACTGAAAGCTTACTTCCTCTTAAAGTACTAAAGCATAACACAACTGAAGTGAATGTATCGTCTGATGTCACAGGACCGATTATTATCCTTGTCGTATTTACACTTTCCCTTGTAATACAAGGAAAACTACATTTTGGATACATTTACCTTATCTCTCTTACCTCATCTTTCCTTATGTTTATTCTTTTGAATTTGCTTACGTCAAAGGGTGTGGACTATAGCATATGCTGTAATATTATGGGTTATTCAATGACTCCCATTGTTGCCTTTTCACTTGGAAGCATGGTACTTGTCTGGACAGGGATGTTCATCAAATCTATCTTGGGAATAGGAATGAGTGCGTGGAGTGCATATACAGCATCCAAAGTGGTATGCACTCATTTGAGCTTAGTAGAAAAAATGGTTGTAGTTGGTTATCCACTTTTTCTTGCTTATATGTGTTTTATGATGATGGTTCTATTTTAGATTCGTAAACTTAAATTTAGCTATTAAATAGACGTATTTTAAACTAGAGAATTATTTTAACAGAATAAGCTTTCGCTTACATTAAAGCTAATTTATTAAACCAAATGAAGTTTTCCTGCGAAGTAGTTATTAAAGGAAAAAGGATGTACTTCTTAGTAGATTGTGGTGAATTTCTATTTATACTTCAGAGTCAAATAATATCTTCTTTAATTTTTACAATTCAACAATTTTATAGTCTCATTTGACAGTTTGAGATATTAAAACTATATTTACTATACCACAGAGACTAATTTACAGTGGATAGAATAACAAATCTACTTACTTGCTATGAGAATTATAAATTATTCCTACACCCTTGCTTATGCCAGATCTTTTTCAAATCTCGCAGTCTGTAAAAGAAAAAATATCAGATCCAAGGAATACGCTTATAAACCTTCCAACGTTGGAAGTTCCTATCGTAATTAATAGAGAAAGCATTTTGTCCGTATGTAAAGTTACAAAATTTGTTTATTTAGTACATTGCCCAGAACCTATTTACATTTCAACTGTTTTTAACAACAATTTTGCATTTGAGGATACAAACTATCGAAAAGTAATTCTAAGGAAATGTTACGATTCAATATATTTTGACTTTTCAGTTATACCTAGCAATATTTAAGTGACCAACACGTAAATTCTGTTAGAATATTGTCATTCCAAAAATAAATGTTAATTAATAAAATTTTAATCCATTCTAAAACGTGTTTAGGTGATTTATCTTTTGTATATTTATTTTCCTCTGTTTTTTATGCATCATGGAGACAGGCGAAATCCCACTCAAAACATGGAGTTTGTACTTTCCAAACGAGGAGTACACTGCATTTAACAAGGAAATATCACTTGTAATTGCTATAAGAAAAACACTAAGCATTTCTCCTCTTGTTCTAAAAGGCATTATAGATTCTGGGATCTTCGAGTGTGAATACGCTACCTTTTCAAAGTTCGACAGTCCCTCCTCAGCTTGCATTTCAAGCACACTGATGTGTTTTAGCTGTGCTGTTAGTGAAAGAATATTTGAAAGCTTCGGAAAGGCCATCTATATTGAAACAAGGATAATTAATCACAACGAAATCTGTCAATTTTCTGAAATTTCCACATCTAAGGTTGATACACTGGTAACCCTAATAGGAACATGCTGTAGAGTAGGCTTTAGAAAAATTGAGAATCTTGAATCATATTTTGAGTGCGTCAAATGCTCAAAGATTCTCAAGGTACAAAACCAAAACAATATTTATAGAATACCTAAGTGTCCATGTAAAAGTAAAAGTGTGGTATTTCTATCTGGACATACAAGTATGAAATGTACCGATAAACAGGAAATAAAAATTCAAGAAATATTTACGAGTGGTAGTAACACAAAGATACTTGAAATTGATGTGTACGGATCCCTTGTTGGAGCTTTGGCACCAGGCGATATGATACAATTAACGGGAATTGTTAAGGCAGAGCTAAGTGGGGAGGCGTATAAGCTAAAAATCAAATGTAACAATCTTCAAATAATCAAAAATAGAAATAATTTAAGAAATGAACAATACTTTCAGACAGATTTTGAAATTTTTAAGAAAATTTCTGAAGAGCCAAACCTGATAAGCATTTTTATAAACAATCTTTATCCTGATATTTATGGAAATACTTTAATAAAGGCAGGACTGGTACTATCTTTGTTTGGAGGTACCAGGAAATACGCAGGCGCCCAGTCTGTCAGATCTGAAATCCACGTGCTGATTGTTGGAGACCCTGGGCTTGGAAAATCAAAACTACTGCTTAACACTTGTAGTATCCTCCCCAAGTCCACATATGTCAGTGGAAACTTTTGCACCACAGCCGGTCTCACTGTTTCTATCAGCCACGATCCTATTACTGGTGAATACATGACAGATGCAGGTGCGTTGGTAGTTTCCGATGGTGGAGTGTGCTGTATTGATGAATTTGATAAAATAGATGACCATACAGCACTGTATGAGGCGATGGAGGATCAGAAGGTAACAGTAGCAAAAGGAGGAGTATGCTGTAGTGTGCCTACTAGATCTACCATTGTAGCAGCCACCAATCCAAAAAATGGACATTTTGACATGACTAAATCAATACGAGAGAATTTAAAATTTGATCTATCATTAATATCAAGATTTGATCTTGTTTTTATCTTGAGAGACGATCTTAATGAAAAGGAAAACTATGAGATAGGAAACCAAATTTTAAAAAAGAGACATTGTGGAATGGAAGATCCAATATCTTCATTGGTAAAAGACTTACGATCTGATGCATTCATTAAAAACAACAGTACCGTTTACACACCAGAAATATTAAAGAAGTATATTGAATATGCTAGAATGACAGTTAATCCTGTATTGAGTAAAGTAGCCAAACAGAAAATAAAAGACTATTACCTTGAAATCAGAAAAGAGAATAATACATCGATACGGAACCTTGAATCATTAATGAGACTTACTGAGAGCTACGCACGAATGGAACTAAAATCTGTAGCATCAGGCACGCACGCTTCATTTGCAATAAATCTCCATCGAAAGATATTCATCAAAGATGAAAAGCAAGTAAAGACAGGAAAAGTAAATTTTGAAGGAATATTAAAAAAATACATAGAAATAAATGGGACAAATACAATCAGTAAGGAAAATTTAATGGATCTTATACGACAGTTAAATTCAACGAAACCCGAACAGGAAGTCCTGGAAACGTTAAACTTTCAAGGATTGATAATTAAGAAGAGCAGTCAGGAATATAAAATAAATATCATAAACTAACACAGTAGGTTATTGAGATATTTGTACATGACTAATACCTTTTTTAATTAAATTTAAAACACAATGGCAGAGTTGAATATCGACTTTGTTCTATTTTATTGCTGCATTTTCTTATTGTCTAGACTTCGGTTTTCATAGATCCACGGCTGTGTGTCAAGTGGGCATATATTTCTTGAATTCAACCATCGACCAATGCAATGTGTGTGAAATGCATGCCCACACTTTCCCCAACTAATGTTACACTCTTCGCCTGCTCCTATTCCATTCTGACATTCAACACATGTATCCATAATATGGTTCCTACAGATAGCACATGTCTCTATTTGAATATCCAAAGACCAAATACCGACTAAGTCCCAGGAAATTAATTTTATTTCTGGTTTCTTGTTTTCTTCTTGCAATTCCATGGAAAGGGAAACAAAAAGAACAAAGTAAGCCTAGACTGTCTTTGAGTTTGAAACAGGAAGAAAACAAATAAATAACGGGACTACTGCTTTGTGAGTACAAAGCACAATCTTAAATCTTCTTTATATGCAATTTTGGTTAATAAATTCCTTTTTAATAATAGCTACTAATTTTATCTTCCAACGGATGTTCTGAAACATTACTGCATTTATAATGTTTGAAAGATCAAAACAATTCATGACAAACTGCCACAAGAGAATAGAGGCATTGGCAGAGCTTTATGAAAGTGAAAGATCATATATTAATGATCTTGTTTTATGGGAGGATCTTCTTAGAACAAGCTTTATTGGGGCGACTACATTCGAAAGTGCCCAATACACAATTGTAGATACAATTATGAAAGATTCAGAGAGAATAAAAGGCAAACATCTGTCCATGTTCATAGAATTGAAACAGAAAAACCAGGAAGCATTAGGACATGCTACTCTAAAACATCAGGGTCCAGTAACGAGTGATATGATATCTGAATTGGAAAATTTTCCAGAGGAGTTGAAACAGGTAGAAGACATGAAATTAGAATATTTTTCAGTCTTTGAAAGGTTGGCAGAGGATAATGAATGCTACATTAAGTACACACAAAATCTGCCAAGGGCAGAATATGAATTTGAAAGATTAATGGCCACAGATAAGAGATTTAATAGAAGCGTGACAGATTTTCTGATCAATCATGACCTTATTGATCTTGGAATTAGAAATTTTTTCTATCGGCCATCGGTAAAAATTTCTAGATATCCCATTCTTCTCAAAGCTATAGCAAAGCATGAGTCAGATCAGGAAAAACAAAGACGATATTTCCAATTAATTAGGACCATGGACAACCTGGCCAAGAAGATTGATTGGGAATATAAAATAAGATCAGAGTTTTTTACTACTTTTATGCTGGCTTATAGGCTGGTATACAACGAAAATATTAAAAGCAAGTTTTCATTGGGGCTAATATACAAAAAAACAAAGCTTATAAAAGAGGGGAAACTGATTGTAAAGAAGAGCAAATTAGATCCTGCATCATATAAGCATGTATTTATATTTAACAGAGTGATTCTGATATGCCTTTCGATTGATGGACCTTACCAGAATATAATTATCGACGACGACCCAATATTTCTAAGTAGAGCGTACATGCTGAAAAATGTTGAAGGATTTGCAGCGGGAGAGAATCTAGGGGAGTTATATCCCATTTTTATTGCTCAAAGAGAGAATAGATCAATAAAAGCCTTCTATTTTGAAGATGAAAGCACCAGAGATCTTTATTACTACAAGATCAATAGAGCAATTCAAACGATAAAGAAAGACATGAATGTTGGCATTGGTATTAAGAAGGTTGCCGACTTTAAAGATGAGTTGCTATGCTACTGTAAACCTGAAACGAGCCAAGGTAATTTTATAGGATTGCAGGACAGAGATCATGATGAGAGTTACTTTGATTATTCAAGTATGGCAGATTTGAATAGCAGTATGCTTGCAGAAAAGAGCAATCACAATGGAATGGAAATGGAAAAAGAGAAGTCAGTGGTGGCTGAGGAAGATATAGCGGCAGTAGTCGCAAACGAAATGCCAGGATATACAAAAAATGAAAATGCAAAGGTATCAGAAAAAAAGAAAACGGTAATACCAGAACAGGACAATTCAACAGTATCAAAGAATGAAGAACCAATGAAAATCAAAGAAGAAATATCCATAGAAACAGAAAAAACAAATTATTACATAATGCATCAAACAGTCAAGCGAGAGAATCAGCAACAGTGCATAGTACAACAACGTCCGATAGTGTAATGACAACAGATAGCATGCTGTTTACAATGTCAAAGGATAGTGATAGAAATACTACTCAACAATCTAATAGTAAAGAATATAACAGCATGAATGATCAGCAAGTTAACAATAAAAACAACAGCTCACAGGGTAGTATTAATAACGGCAAAGATAGTAATATAACTGATCAGTCGACTGATAATACAAATAATATGCAGCAGAATAGTAGCACATCTAGTATTTATAAGAAGTATAGTAAAAGATACCACAATGACAGCCAGGAAGATGGATTAAATCAGAAACAGATACGTAGCTCATTTGAGAACATCACCAATGAAAATAACAAAGACTCTTCAAAACAACATTCAGAAACCAAAAACTCAAAGAAACCCACAGATAGTACGTCTCAACATCAAAAAACCACCCAGGAGTCTCTTAGTAACAATGACTTTAATTTTTATAGATTTGGGGAGGAAGAGCGAGTTATTAGACCCGACGAGTATATTGAGACACGTCTTTCATATTCTGACATATTTGGATCTGAATCCATAGCTGTAGAACCTTCCAACACACCGGTTAGTGTTCTTGATAATGAAGAAATGATACCAAAACAAAACAAAATGCACGGGTTTTGGAGCGAGCTGTGCGGACATAGCGTACTTACTCTTAATAATATTGAAATACCAAATGACTTTAGGATAGAACGCACAAGAAGAAACAGAAGAATGTCGTTGTATTCAACAAAAGAAGGGATATTCAAATCTTTTGAAGGTAGAGAGAAGAGAATATTTCAGAAGGCAGCAAGCAAGGTTTTTTACGACTGTGAGTACGAATTAATCATTTTTATATGTGATGACTATCTTCACCTGGGGCAATTCCATGTAGACATGGACGAGATCCAACCTGAGGTTTTCAATAAAACAATCAAGAACTTTTTTTATGGCAAGTATGGGGAAATAGCATATGTCGCACTTGTTTCTATGGAAGAATTTACTTTTTCAGTTATTCATCTTCTTTCTGTTACATTTAATAGAGACAAGCCAGTATTGAATATTGAAGTGGTGAGAAAATTGTATGTCGGATTTACCATATTCAACATTTTCTTTTTGGAGGGTCGAATTATTATTTCATGCAAAGATTTTGAGATTATTGAAATCGATACCTTGCGTACTCAGGAACTCCTGGAAGTGTATGACACTACACTCTCACTACTGCTAGAATCCAAAGAGTACTTCCATGCAAAATCACTGTTCAAACTGGAAAATAATCTATTTCTTCTTTGTTTTGATGGGGGTGGGTACATAGTTGATAAAACTGGCAGATATCGAGAGGAGAATGTCACCTATGATTGGGAAGTAATGGGAGAAGAGTTTTGCGTATATGATAAATGGATTGTTGTGCTGGGAATGTCGTATCTTACTGTGTTTGAGATTGAAACGGGAAAGATGGTATTTCAAGAGTACATTCCCGGTGTGAAATTGGCACAAGGCTGTAAAGTACCACACGTTCATGACATAATAATTTATACATGATAGACTTTGGAAGACCGCATCAGCCAAATCAAGACCTGAATGGTGTGGAATGCACTCAGAATGTATTTGATCGTATAATCAAGGGTTCCTCTTCAAATACAGCTAATACTTATGCATCATTTATAACAAGTTCTTCTACATCGTCTCTCGATCTTCAAGTCAATTCATGCCCTGAAAGCACATTTGGTACTAGCACATCGTCCATGGACAGTTTGGTTTCATTTTTCAAAAGTTCAATCGATTCTTCTACAAGAAAACATCTCTTCAAATACTAGTAAATATGTCGATAAACCACATGCAACAAACTCTTCCACAGTTGTTGCAAGCTCAGTTGATTCTTCACAAGAAAACATGTCTGATGTTGATAAACCATCTACAATCAATCTTTCTACTTCAATAGAACCTACGATCAGTTCTCTATCTGAAAATATCGATAGCACCAACACATCTTCATCGAAAACTAGATTTTCTACGTCTTTAAAGCCTAACGATAGAAATAGCAGAGACTTTGATAGCATTATTAACGAATACAAGCAAACTAGCAGAACAGCATCGGATAATGACAGTTGGAGCAGTGTCATAATAACTTATCTAAGAGCTAAAGAGGATAGTGATGGTTATATAAACAGTAATGATCATAGTAGCCTTTCAGAGTATTCTCAAATAGTGCCCTATGCACAGTCCTATAAGTTTAGAAATGACGGAGAAAGCTCCAAAAATGAACTATCCCAGCACAGTTCATGTGTGAGATTCACAAGTAGCCAAGTTGAATTTGTAGACAGTACAGAATCTATTACAATCAAACAACATGCAATTTGCAACAAATACAATGTCTTGACTCACTATAGAAAAGCAAAAGTTAAGGAAATGATAAGAATTTCAAGGAAAAGAACAGAAAAGTGGAAATACAATCATGACAGTAGGCAAAATAAGCATAAATCATTTGAAGAACTTGACATTATTGAAGAATATGAGCCAGGAAAAGAAAAAAGATTTGGGTGAATTTATCATTCAGCACACTTGGTTAAGAGGTTTGTGAATCTTATCAATAAAGTTAAGGTTAAAAAGAAGCTTATTTTGCTATCAATCAAAGTTTATATATTTTATTATACTTCACCATCAGTCAGTAATGACGAAGATTAAATACCAATCCTTGTTTAAAGAATTAAAGTTGCACGGTAAAAACTCTAGCAGTCTTAGATTTTCACAATATTCCATGCAAGTCTTCATCCTTCTTTGAACGATCAGCATTTTACAAAGAGTTGAAATTTTTGACTATAAACAGGGAAAGACTTGCGTACATTTAGCTAATTTGTTGAAGGGCCAAGTCTCGGACTGCATTTCAAAGATATAGCCAATTTGATTAATTAGTAAAGCACTGCTGCAAGTGCTAGAAACAGAATTTCAATATCTTCAGAAAGTGATGGAGGATCTTTTAGTATGCTAGCCAAAGACTTCTAAAAGATTGCTGATGCATGAAATAGGACTGATGTGCGATGCTTTACTCTTTTGTGTTGGGAACCACCCCAATTTTTATGAGCCGAACAACTGAAAATTTCTTCTTACCAATTTAAATAACCAAATACCTTTGGCTTTGTACTTTTGTCCCCTGCCACGTGCAGAATTCCATACAATACAAGTTGTTTTGAATATTGCTGGTGATTAACAAGAAGCACAGCTCTTTCTTGATAATGTATTAAAGAATTAATTGAAGTGCTAAGAAAAGGAAAAGAACTTTGACATGCTACTTAAAATGCTTACTACTAAAGTCAAAGCAACATCCATTCGAATGACACCGACTAAATCAGCGCATATAATTTATGCTATTTTAAAGTTTATTTGCAATGAATATGCAGAAAATGCCTTAAAGCCTTTAACAAACATCAGCTAGAAGGTATTCTTTATTTAATTCAAATAAATTTCATTTTGTATCGCTTTATGCATCATGGAAAATTACACTTTCATAGAAAAAATAGGAAAAGGAACACACGGAACAGTGTACTTACTAAAAAGCATTGATGAGGGCAGGTTTGTTGTATGTAAATCCATAACTGGAAAGTATAAGAACCATGCCTACAGAGAGATAAGCATTCTAAGCAAACTTAGCCATAGAAGAGTTGTAACAATGATTGACAGCATGGTAATAAAGGATTCTATTTATATTATGCTTGAGTATATCAATTATGGATCGGTGGAATCAATGATTGAGTTTTTCATTAAGTGTAATATCAGACCAACCAGCTCTCTTGGATGGAATCTTCTTTCTCAGATGTCCGATGCGTTGTACTATCTTCATTCTAAGAAAATCATTCACAGGGACATAAAGCCCTCGAATATTCTAATAAGTAGGTTCTATGTAAGAGAAAAGGAATACCTCGAGTTTAAGCTGTGCGACTTTAGTCTCTCTACGAAGTGTGAGGATTATATCGAAGATGGACATATGGTTGGGACACCCTTCTACATGGCGCCAGAGGTAGTTGAAAGATCAAAATACAATCATAGCATTGATATATGGGGACTTGGGTGCTGCTTGCTTGAGTTGATGAACCTAAAAAAGCCATTTAAGGGTGAGGACCGAAAAGAACTGTTTAAGAACATATTGACACAGAATCCACAGGACGAAATAAGCTGGGAGGACTCTACTTTGGAGTTGATGGTTAGGAAGTGCATGGAGAAGAACAATAGAATCAATGCAAAGATAGTAGCAAAGCATGAAAAGAGTAGACTGCACTTAGCAGTGCTTGAGCTGAGGATTAAAGAAAGTAGAATTGAAGAACTAGAAAAGAGATTGAAGCATATTGAAAGGAGAACAGGGCTTAAGACAGAATAAATCAAAAATCTGGTTTAATACAAAATTTTACCTAAGTAAAGTCCGATTTAAGTAATATTGGTAAATTGAAAATCCAAAATCGTATAATTAAAATAGCATATACTTTAATTAGCTAATATGCTATTTATGGTTGACACCTCGACACTTTCCTGGGGTAAATGCACGACTCATCTACATTCTTGTACTTCATCAAGGCCATTAGCAATCTTTCAAATCCCAAGCCATATCCTCCATGCTTCGATGGACCGTATCTGGCCATGTCCAAATACCAATAGTATGGACCAGGAGCAATGCCCTCGTTTTTGAATGCATCTACAAGTTGCTGGTAGTTATCAAGCCTCATAGAACCACCAACAGTCTCACCCACGGCTGGAAAGAGCAAGTCGCAACTTTCAGTCAGATCCCCATCAATCTTCTTCATGTAGAACGACTTTAGTGCATGCGGAAAGTGCGTTAAAAACACTGGCTGGTTCACTCCATACTCCGCACAGATAAATTTCTCAGATGCATCAGCAATGTCGTCCATGTACTCGTAGGCCGTGCCATCCGGTTTGAGATGATTCTTACTTCTTAGATACTCAATTGCATCCCTATACGATAGCTTCTTAAAAGGCTTCTCGGACAGAGTTACTGGAACAAAGTCAGGCACCACCTTTTGAATATCCTCTAACATTGTCTTATAAAACTCAGTGATGGAGTATCTCACCAACCCCTCAATAGAGTCCATCAGCTCAGAAAAGGAAACATCCACCAGTTCTGCCTCAACATGGGTAAACTCACTCAGATGGCGAGATGTCTTAGACTTCTCGGCGCGGTATGATGGCATTATACAATATGCTTTACCTACAACGGGTGCAACAGTCTCCAAGTACAGCTGAGAAGACTGAGTAAGATACGCCTTTTCTCCATAGTAATCGAGTGAAAAGAGCGTTGCTCCTCCCTCAACCTGAGTCTGTACAAGAGTAGGTGGTGTAATTTCAGTGTATTTGTTTTTGAAGTAGTACTCCCTCATTAGGTGAAGCAAGGTAGACCTGGCCTTTACGAAAAGTTCCCTGTCCTTCATTCTCAGGGCCAAGTGACCATTGTCGAGTCTTGTTTCCTTTTCAGACTGTGCATTTAAAGGAAAGGTGGGTGCAGGCATTGAGTTGTAGATCTCATATTTATCCACTGCAATTTCAAATAAAAACTCATCCCTTCTCTTTACTGGCTCTACAACAGTGCCGTAGATGGTAAGTGAAGTTTGAAAGGTAAATCCATGGTCACCCTCAACAACGCATTTGACTGTTGAGAATGCAGAAGATAGATGGAAGAAGCATCGAGACTTCACAGAGGTACTTTTAGTAACCCATCCAAAAGTCTTTATCTTTCTATCCTTTAATGAGAGGCTGATTTCCTCTAGTCTGACTCTTTCGTATTCACTCTCATTTATATCTACCAACTTCATTTTCTCAACACCCTCACTCAGTGCGCTCTCATTCAATGCGACGCCTTCCTGCGATTTACCAGCTATCGAGATTGTTGGATCTTCCTTCGAGATAATTTTACTTTCTTGTAACATTTTTGGGGTAAGAAATTCAAAAAAGTCAAAACAAAAAAGCATTCAAAAACGTCAAAAACTTTGATCTTAAATCAGGGATGAAATTGAAGGAAAAGCACGCATTTCTACCAATCATCAACCTTTTATGAAGTGTGGTTATATAGATAGTAACTAAAGTATAAACATGTCCCAGTGTTTAAGCTTAAAATATTACTGATACTAAAATATGAAACGGATATATGAAAATGATGTTTAATTAACCTCTTCGACGTCAGGACTGCCTGCATTTCCAGTAGTGCCTGCTGATGCACCACTCATCATACTAGGAATTTCTGAGATAAGCTTATCCATTCTCTCCTTAATAACCTTTGGTTCAACGTCATTTGGTAAGCTCTTCAGCCATTGCTCTTCTTCATTTAATTTGCTTGAAATCTCCTTCTTCTTACTTTCATCTACTTTCATTGACTCAAGATTATCCTGGAATGAATAGATTTGAGCTTCAAATTGGGTTCTGAGGTTGATCCTTCACGGAAAATTGCATCCTTTTCTGAGTGCTCTTCAGCCTCCTTCTTCATTCTTTCAATATCACTATCAGACAAGTGCTGTGACATATTCTTGACGAAGCATTGCTTATTGCCTGTGCTCTTATCAACTGCAGTAACCTTAAGAACGTTATTAGCATCTACCTCGAAGGTGATCTCAATCTGAGGCACTCCCTTGGGTGCAGGTGTGATTCCAGAAAGAACAAACCTGCCAACAAGATAGTTGTCAGCACTCTGTGATCTGTTACCCTGGGTAATGACAATTTCAACTGAAGTTTGGTTGTCTGCAGCAGTTGAGAAAACTTGAGTCTGTTTAGCTGGGATGGGAGTACGTGCAGTGATAAGCGGCGTAGCTACTCCACCAAGTGTTTCAATGTTGAGATTAAGAGGCACTTGGTCAATAAGCAAAAGCTTAGGTCCAGTAGATGAATCATCAACATCAGGACATGTAGCATTAGCAAAGTATCCAGCACCATAAGCAACAGCCTCATCAGGATTCAACGGGGAAACAACCTTCTTAGAAACAGCAGGAGTATCCGCAGTCTCATTGAAGAAGTCTTCTAGTACGCTCTTTACTTTTGGAATTCTTGAAGATCCACCAACCATAATTACTCTATTGATAGTCTGTTTGGCATTTTCAATTAACTTGTTCAGGTCCTGATTCCTGGCCGATGGGGTATTCCTAATAGTGGATGCCTCATCAAGCCTTCCATCATCAAAATACACAGGAGTTATTCCCTCGAGCGAAAGCAATACACCCTTAATCTTCTCCTTCAATCTCTCAAAGAGTGTCCTAGAGGCTCTTTCAAACTCAACTCTGGTAATGTCAAATACAAGATCCTTAGTTCCACGATAGCATGGAAGATTGAATGTAGCCTTCATATTAGTGGAAAGAGATGTCTTAACCTTAATAGCTTCTTGACGTAACCTGAGATCATTTTTGAGTTTTTCCTCATGTGAAACACCCTCATCAGGATCCATTCCGCCATTATCCTTCTTGAATCTAGCCTTAGCAATCTCAATAATGATTCTATCCCAATCTGATCCACCAAGGAAGTTATCGCCATCAATAGCACGTACCTGACCAATGGGATTAACAGTATCATAGCTGAAGTCAAGAATACTTACATCGTAAGTACCACCACCAAGATCAAAAACAAGAATTCTCTCCTCTTGACCATCCTGAACTTGCTTATTCTTGATCATGATTGAACCATAGGCTATAGCAGCTGCAGTTGGCTCAGCCAGAAGTACAACCTTAACATCGAGAGGGTTGTTGTTCTCATCAACTTTCCTGAAAAGGCAATTTTGGCAGCATCAAGAGTACGCTGTTTAGCACCCTCGTTAAAGTAAGCAGGAACAGTAATAGCAACAAAGGAAGGTGAAGTGCCTAATCTCTGTTTAGCAGACTCAAAGAGATAATTCAGAACATAAGCAGAAACCTGCACTGGTTCATAAACTCTCTCCTTTCCCTTTTCCTTAACAGCAATACCAATATTATCGGTGGCAGTCTTGTCCATAGCCTTACCTGTAGTCTTAATTTCTTTTAGATGGAAAGGCCAATATTTCCTAGCATTTATAACCTCATCTGAATGGAATCCTTTTCCAAACATTCTTTTTACTTCATAGACGAAATTTTCTGGTGCTGATGTTGCAGCAAGGATGGCATTTGAACCAACCACTGGCTGGCCTCCGTCCTTGTCAAAGCAGACAACTGAAGGAGTGATATGATCTCCATCCCTATTGTCGATAACCTTCAACTCACCCATGTAGTATCCAGCAACACACGAAGTAGTTGTACCTAAATCTATTCCAATTGTAGTAACCTTCTTTGCCATTTGATGGGGAGCACTGCTCTAAAATTTTTTATAAAAAATTTGTTCTAGAAAATTCTAAGAGAGAAGGAAAAAATTCTAGAAAATGCAAAGTTAAGAGAAAAACACACAAATAATGACGACTCAAAGGCATTCCACTAAGTACAATGTTAAGCAAATAGCAAATACAGAAGAAAGCATCTCTTCTATGCACTTTATTAGCAATAAGCGTGATAGAATCAAAGACAATATGGCATGTGATAGTATATCATTTATAAATATCAAGCCATTGCGCCGAATACAACATAGAATTCTAGAAACAACGTACCAGATGTTCTACTTCATCAAAAGAACGCCTTAATTTTGAGCTACTGCGGCTTATCCAAACTGTCTTTCAATTCTAATATTTGCTATACAAGGCATAATGATAAGAACTAACTCAAAGAGATGCATCCACTAAAGATAATGAAAAATGAAAAAAGTAGATATCGACACAAAATACTTCAGAATGAAAGAGACAACTTCACATCATACCAAGACGCTTTACAGTGGACACTACCATACAAGTTTAATGCTAAAGGATGTTGAGATCAAAGTATAAAGAGGTGGAAGGCTGTGAAGCAATAGCACAAAGAATCAGTTCCAGAGATGAGCTAGGACATGGCAATGTAGCAGAAGACATAGTTTTAGAGACATGACAATAGCCATGAACACTATGCTGGTGAGAACACCGTACCACGGGCTTTATACTGTTTATTTCAAGATTGTTAAGACAGTCTTTAGATCAAGCTTATCGCACATTACCAGTAATGAGTGGTGGACATGTCAAATTACCAGATGACTACCATTTAAGAGTACATTTTTCAATACATTCTAAGAATAATTTATAAAGTGATTCCATTATTGCACTATCAAACCAAACTGATTTTCAAAGCGTAAGTCTCTTTAAATCACCACTCTTTATCCTCCAGCCCACTGTCAGGTAAGTTAAAGACTGTAATATGAAAAGACAAGCACTTGTCTATAGCAAAGGAACTTCTTTTAGACATTCCAGCTGTGTGTTCATAAGACATGTCCATAAATAGAATTGACTTCCCTGCGAAGCTGTGGTAAAATGGAAAAACCAGGTAACACACAATTTAGTGCAAATCGCCTTGTCTTTGAGATGGCTTATTTCAACACAGTCACTCCTTCAGCAACATGAATTCTTCTTTTTAGCTGTTTTAAATAGAATCTTTGTCTGCATACTCAAATTCTCACTCTTTTCAACTAAGTCGCTTAGAGACTCTCCACGCTGTAGAATCTGAGAAAGGCCCTCCATGACAATCACATTGCACTTCTCCAGCTGGTCTTCTATCTTCTTGAATTGGTCCTTGTCCTCCCACTGCTTGTATTCCTTTATTAGATACTCATAGTTAGCATTGTTCTCATAGCACTTATCTAGAAGTTTGTAGGCTATCTTTGAGTTGTATTCAATGTCTGTTATAATAAATACTCTAAACACACTTCTCATCTGGAATATTATCTTGAACTGCTCCTTCTCATTGAACTTCTCTCTTACTTCTCTTAGCTGGGAATCCTTTGGTAGACTCTTTGACACCTCCTTTACCATCCCCTTTATAAAGTCCTTGATTGTTCCTCGTTTGAAAAATCCGAATTTCTCCAGATTGAACTGTTCCTGTACTATAATTCTTGTGTTTGTGTCCTGTTTCACGATAGCATAAACAGGCATAGAAAAAATGGGGTAAAATAATCTATCCAACATCAACTTAAAGTAAAATTCAAGAACATGCCAGACTTTGGCAGAATCCAAAGTGAAGCACACCCGCACTTCCATAAATAAATACGTTTTTACAACGCTTTGATGTTTTACCTACGATATGCTACAGGAATGACAATACTTTTATTTAACGTACCAGCCTAAGCCGGTCGTATTATCAATACCAGGAAAACACATCCATATTAACTTAAAACCGATAAATTTGAGAGCAATGACATCACAGCACAGTTTTCATTAAATCGTTGTCTTATTTATTCCTCAGCATCATCAACAGCATTGATGTACACAAAACTGAACCCATCCTTATTATCGCCACTCACCTTTATGAAATTACTTAAAGACTTTGTTCTTAAATACCTCTTTAAATACAACTTCATGTTCCTCTTTTTGATGTTACCCTCCTTCGAGACAATGTCAATGGCAGATGCATTGTCCTTGAAGCTTATCTCCCTGGCTGCTATCTTCAAGCAGTTCTTCACCTTCATCTTAGATTGAAGATAGGATATCACGTCTTCTGGAGTTATCAACCCATCTTTTACTTGAGAGGCAAAGTTTACAGTGTAAGTTCTGAGATTTTCTTCTGTCTTTTCCATGGGTCTCAAAACTTGTAAAAATTTTTGTAAGAGAAACTGGAAAGTGAAAAATGAAAGAGTCACTGCCCCTAGGCACGCCAACCATAAACATTAAAGAGCCAAGCACAAGAAGTTGGTTACACATGGATAGCTGCTAGCATTTCAATTTGTGCAAGCCACTTTTGGAAAAAGCGTCATCTTGTTTCCAGCCAATACTACTTATTTGTATTCAATATACTGGTATTTTCTATAAGTTCACAGCATCTTGCGAACGGCGATGGCTGAAAACTTATAGAAAATACCGATGCCATGCATTTACTCCGGGAATAAAGCAGATTTTTTTCTTGTCTCCTTTACCCTATCATTCACTTCATTTCAGATCACTTTTTAAAATAATTTTTTTCTCACCCCTCTTTAATACACCTTTGAGATGCTCCAATTCACCAAAGTATTAATCCCCTTCCTCATCCGTACTTTCATTCCAATCACACCTTTTTATACAAACTTTCTAGTTGAAATTAAGGAATTCACCAATCTAGAAGTTTCAAACGTCATTGCTCCTTTTTATTTCTTCTCTTCCTTTCTTGCTGTTTTCTTTTGTAAATCAATTTTACACAGTCTTGGACTAATTTACAGCTCTGTTCTTATCACTGCCATCTACTTTCTAAACATGACATTCTTTCTCAATCTGAGAAAGAGAAGCTTCATTCCTGCCTGTTTGGTATACTTTATCTCTGGCTTTATCTCTACTTTTGATGTTGTGTATAAATTTTATATAGGAGAGATCAACGAGAAAGAAAAGAGCGTAGACGCCCAATACTCATACATAGCACTGCTCAAAGCAATAGCAGGATCCATATCCTCCGTTGTTGGGCAGGAAATAGTCAATAGAACTGGCCATTATGAAATTAATATTCATATTTCAATCTTTACCCAGTTCGTAAGTCTTACCATGTCTGTATACAATGCAATGAATGAAAAGGCAGTACCGCCGTTTGTTGATGTTGATATGAAAGAAGCATTTTTTAGTATGGATAAGATAATCTTCTGTGCGTTCTGTGCAGGAAGCATCTGTGACTGTTTTAGCTTATTTACGAAGCTGTTTGTCAATAATATTTTCAGGGACAAGAATAGCGAAGAAAAAGCAAGGAAGGAAAGCAATAGCACCAACAGCAATACCAATCTCAATGGTGGTGGTGTTGAGGGTACTGGCAACAACAAAAATATTTCTAATATAGCTAACGGAAGCATTGAGCCATCTGAAAGCCAGGACACAGCAACATCTAATATTAAGCAGCCTGAGAGTAGTATTAAAACTAGCATTGGCACTAGTTCTGGTATTGTTAATAGTAAAAGAAGTAAAAAGACAGAATTTGCGAAAGCTTTTATCAACAAGTTACAGAATATCCTTTACACTCCAGTCACATTGCTTTCTGTGCTTCTTATCTCTCTCATAACGTTCATATTTCCTAAATACAAGCAGGAAGGAACTGCTCAGAAAAGATATTTAAATGGGAATGCTGATGCTATTTCGAATGTACTTTGCTATGAGCTAACCTATCTTATTTCCAAGTATGGGCCCAAAGAACATAAGGAATTTACATACATATCATTCCTGTTACTCTCCTCAGTTTCTCTCCTTTTGATGACAAGAACAAAGCATAAAATTATGCTGTATTTTATGTATTTATGCACGGGTGTATTTTCAAAATCATGCACTTCAATAACCAAACGATTCCTAAAGAAGGATAGAAAGGACAACAACCTCATCATTTCATGCTATATGTCAGAGTCTATCTGTCATATTATCATTGATGTATTTTGCAGACTGTATAAGGTCAATTCGGTTTCCAAAGCCAGAATTTACGGATTTATAGGACTTGCGATATTTTTAGGAATTATGGCAGTTAAAAGCTCAAGTTAATAAATTAACCACATGATTCAAATAGTTTACTGGTGTGATGATAGAATAACACTAAACTTTAATATTGCCAGATTGTTTATATTTCATAGCCCATGGCAGACAAAAACAAAGATCAAGAGAACATAAACAGTCCAATCAGAAAGATGACAATCATAAATAAAAACAAAAGAGAACACTACAAAGGAAGTGGAAAAAATGTTTTGTCCTGAGTTTGAGCTAAATAGTGAAACAAAGCATGCGGGAACTAATGAGACCGAAGAAGCAATGGAAGGGGCACATCAGCATTTAAATAGCTCTTCAAGCAATAGTGATGTTAAAGATGAGATCAAGAATGGGCTCTACACCAAAACTGGAGACTTTATATTTGAAAATAGGGAATTCAATAACCACGATAAAGAGCAGACAGCCGCTGACTCGCAAACCATAGCAATTCCTAATGCACATGAAATAAAGTCTTCACCTGAGATTTCATTTGGGCAGGATACCTTGAATATGGTTGATGAGTTTATGAAGAACGAGGCTATTGCTCAGACTAATACTAAAAAAAGGAACGTGGTGGGTGAGATATTGAGGAGGTTATTCTGTTGTTGAATATGCCATTGTGCTCATATTATTGATTGTTTGTTGAAAAAGAAAAGACTTTATTAAAGCTCCAGTCGATGGACATTGCTTAAAATTTATAAATAAAATATCAACCATATCAAACAGTCAGCGGACCTTTCCCTAGCCTGTATTGACTTACAGACATTTCAGTGTCCTTGGTCTTCAACTCTAATGCTATGGTGCTTTATTACTTTATTTAATACTCATTTAGTATCTAATATTAACGTACTTTTTGAACTCATTACTATCCCAAGTATAAATCCGATCAGCCCCACCGATGCAGGAATAACCTCAAGTATAACGACTTTAAAGAATAGCAACTCATCCTTTGCGTCCATCATACTTATGACAGCGCAAATAAGACCAGTGGCTATGGAACTGAAAAAAGAACACAGCCCAACAAATAGACTGGAACAGAAGAGGATGTAGTGGCTGGCGTTTGACAGATTGGACGTGTATCTGAGAGTGTTGAAGTTCAATACGCAAAGAATTATTCCTGAAAGGAAATTGGCCTCGCAGACGACAGTCCCAAGGATCGACTTGGTGCCTACCCTGGGATACTTGATTGAGGTGCCAGCAACATAGTTTGAAATAGTCCAAATGCCCTGGGAAGCCCCAAGGGAACTCAGTAGAAAACAGTAGACAATGCCAGCATAGCCTAGGTTTTTTGGGGGGATGAAAAGGAGGGTGAGTAAAGAAATCAAAAGAGCGGACAGAATGATCCATTTCATTTATGTTTGTGTGCTGTGTTATTTATTTGCTGTTTTATATTTATTGACTTGAAAGAATGAAGGGACTCCGACATGATTGCGCTGTTCAAAAGTGTTTTTAGACGATGCTAAATAGTGCATTAATGCAAATGCACGAGTTTATGTAATTAAGTACTATCTAGTATTTGTTTTTTACACATTCGAGATTTTTTAGGTCAGCTCCTAGCCGCCATAGCTCAGTGGTTAGAGCGTCTGTTTAGTAAACAGGAGGTCTCGGGTTCGATCCCCGGTGGTGGCTCATGTTTTTGTTCAATCCCGATTGTTTGAAGATGCCATGCTTTCTTGAATGCAAGAGTGGCAGCCAATCTTTTATTAGACGTTTGTAAAGCCAATTGAACGGATCAGTTCAAGCATTTATTTCTACTTAGTTCCTCCAAGAAATGACATCCAGCTGTTCTCTTCGGGCTTTGATACCTCCATGAGTTAAATACACTTGGATGTAACTTACTTTACTATTTTTTTTAAGATTCTCTCCTTAAGAATAAGTTCCCACACTTCCTCAAACTCTTTTTCGAAGTCTCCGTCAAAGGTTGAGTTGGCAGTGTCATCTAGCTGCAGCTTCCTTCTTACAAGTGCTGTTTTGACGGACTGAAGTGCCTCTTCTTTTGAATAGTTCTTGCCAAGAAGATCAAAGAAAGTATCAAGCGGAAGGGTCATGAGATGAAGGGGTCCTCCATTCTTTTATTTAGAGCGATTGCCAGATTTTAGAATAAAATACAATTAGCCCGGCCCTTTCCACACCCTGGTTATTAGTTTATGCAAGAAAGCCTCATTGTAATCATACAGACGCTCCTCTCAAAAGGAATGATAAAAGTCGAAAGCGAGGTTGATCTGTCTAGAATAAATAGACACTTGTCTCCAATTGGATACGATGTAGTGGAGTTTCCTCACAAAAGAATACTTGTGCTGAAGGACAGAAGTGAGTCTACGTGGATTCAGCCTCCTTGGAAAGAAAAGACCATCGAAGAGGCAAAGAAGGTATTTGTGAAACTGTCACAGTGCACATATCTAGATGAGCAGTCCGCAGTCGTTGACATGCTCACTGAGTTTAACTATCTTAAAAGAGAAGATGGGAGATTAAAATTTACAGAGAGAGCACTAGTTCAATTTAGCGACTTTATAGAAGGATTGGATGGTAGATTTAAGAAGTGCAAGCTTTGTGGATTTTTAGGAGACGAGGGGGAGTTCCACAATGCCTGTAAGGATTTTATGGGTAGTCAGCATATAAGTTAATAAAATATTAGATAATGAAATCTTTAGCATAAAGGATTTATTTAGGTAGAGAAGAATTAAGCAGAATGCATCATCACAAAACGAGTACTTAGTTAAAAGTGGGCACGTCAGCCATTTGCAACATCACAACACCCTAAAATTAAATAAAGACTTATTCACAGCCTAGTTTCAACTCTTTTTGGCCAAGACCCATTCTCATTCGTAGTACTCAAATCCATCCTCATCAACTAGTTTTTTCCTCTTCTTTTTCTCTTTACTCTCATATGCTATCATAAACTCATTCATCTCTCGCTGTAATGCTTTTACATCGTCGCTTCTACTCTTCTGCTGAACCGTGGCATTCTTCGAACCTACCCATTCAACTGCATCATCCACACTTTCAAACTCAAAGACATATATGAATTTGTCTCCTCTTTTTTCTAAAGAGACTTGCTGGGCATTCTGAATATTCATTTGAATGTTAAACGGAAGGGAAAAAGAAACGACTGCCATTGACCTCTCTGTCTTTATTTGTATTTTTGAGATTCTTTCTGCGCCTCCAACTGTAAATGGAAATTTCAGATTGAGTGCTGAGTCGTCATCCGAGAAAAAGTTCATCGGCATGAAATACGAAGAAAGTAATATAGAAGTATAAAATGTGCTAGCTCATAGCTGATTAGCGAAGTATCTTAAATAAATAGAGCATATAGCTTTAGAGGCCAAAACAGGCAAGCATTAGGTGCCATGGTTCGACTGCTGATCAAACTTCATTAGGCATGTCTTGATGTGCGGTGCTGTCTACCCAAGCTAGAGAAATACATTGGTTGTAGACATATTGCGAGGATTATATATTTTGATATCTTCGTTGAAGAGCCTGGCACTCATTGTATGTAACACTGCCAGGGCATAGAAACGTATATAGAAGTACCTACAATGCAGACTGTTTTAAACTGGTATATTTGGATTAATAAAAAACAAAGCACACGGTTTATCCCAACTACAAAAGCATCAATTGTGCTTTTCATAATACTAGTTAGATGAAGGAGCGTTGTCCAACTCCTCGATTGGTTTTCTTTGCTATCTTTCAATAGTAGTTGTCGATCGGCTTTGGGGAGATGAAATATCTGCCAAGCTAACCAGTAATATTGATGGCACAACTTAGCGACATTTAGATAACAACAGTAAATTTACGAGTTTTATCAGATGGCATGACTGCCACTATGCGGAACCTAGGCATATGACATGCAGAAATAGAGTAAATATACTTAAAGACACGTGAATGCATTAAACCGTTAACTTTTATACATTAGAGCTGGGATTGTTTATGGGATTCTACTACTGATTTTGGGACATGCCACTGGCAGCATCCACTAAATTAGCTTTTATAAACGTTTTTCTCAATACACACCCATGTCTCTAAAAACTTTCAAAGATTTAAACATTCATAAAGATGTAAAAGATACGTTGGAGAAAATAGGATTTGAAGCGATGTCACCCGTTCAAGTGCGGACCATTCCCGAGTTTTTAGAAAAGGACGTTATTGTGCAGAGCCAGACGGGGTCTGGAAAGACGCTTTCTTATCTCGTTCCAGTTCTGAATACAATTTTCAAAATACATGACCAAAAGACAGGCTCTCAAAACGTAAATGAACAGAAGATGGACGACGAGCAGAGAAAAGTGACCATTAATGCACTTATTATTGCACCAACTAGAGAACTCTGCATCCAAATTAGTGACATTGCAAACAGTTTTGGAATAAAATCCAGCATCATCATTGGCGGTGTTCCAATCGAGGAGGATCTGAACAAGCTGGAGTCTGAAATTGTTGTTGGAACACCAGGCAGACTCTTGGAAATCACTTCGGAAAATGCTAAAAAATTCAGTAGAATCAAATACCTAGTTTTGGATGAGAGCGACAAATTGCTTAGTCTTGGATTTGAACAGAAGTTGTTAAAGATTCTTGAATGCCTCCCTAAGAACAGGATTACTGGGCTATTCTCAGCTACCATTGACGATCAGGTAACTAGATTTTGTCAAAGCTCGTTGAAAAATCCAGTAACGATAAAAATAGCGGAACATCTGCCGGAAAATCTGCACTTGAAATATTTGATAGCAATGCCCACTCAGAAATTTGATGCCTTGGTGAGATTTATAAGAAATAGAAAGTCTATTGTGTTTTTTGGGACATGCAACTGTGTGAATTTTTACTACGAAGCGCTTTTGAAACTTTTTGTAGAGAGTGCTTGTGTTGATAAGGTTCACAACAGAAATTGTGGCGAAAGCCTAGAAGAAAATATCAACGGTGGACAAGATGGAACAGAAGCCATTGGCCCGAATGTTGCTAGTGTAATAAGCGCACCAGCGAATAGTACTTCACGAGATAGCAATGCAAGTGCTTTAAAAATCTACAAAATTCACGGAAAGATGGATCAAAAGGACAGAAATACTGTATATGCTGATTTTGAAGCTAATGGCAATATCCTTTTGTGCACAGACGTAGCTGCCAGGGGTATTGACTTCAAAAGCGTCGAATTGGTAGTTCATTTTGATGCACCAAAAGACCATGCTAATATAGTACATCGTAGTGGCAGAACTGCAAGAATGGGAATGAGAGGCGAGGCAATGGTGCTTTTGATGCCTAATGAAAGATCCTTCGTCAACTTTCTAAAACTTAAAGGTGTAGAAATGGAAGAGGTTAGTTTGCCAAGCCTAGCTGAAGTAAGCAACACGGAAGACCATTTGAACCGTGACGGTTATGCTTTAAGCCCCCACTCAATTCTAAAGAGCAGGATGACTGAAAGTCTTCTTTCCTTGTCGGTAAAAGCTTTTGTTTCGTACATCCGAGGATATAAAGAACACATACTTAACTACATATTAAACTACAAAGAACTTGATTTTGATGGATTGGCAGAACTGTTTTGCCTTGAAAGGATACCTTCGATGGCCGAGCTGAAAAACATTAAATTCAGAAAGTATGAGAGAAAGGCACCGGTGGAGAATTCTAAGCAGAAAAGAATAAAGAAAGGTTAGGGTTTTGGTAGATGCATAATGGCTCACAAATTGGTCTATTTGAATCTACAGCGCAGTACATTTTCTGTAGTTTATGCAATTTTTGGAAGAAAAGACTCTTTTTATGGAGACTTGAAAATAGTTCTAGCTTTTCTGCCTGCCATTTATTTCTATGTGGTTGAACATAACTGCACAGTTCGTGTCTGTTCACCCAGCTAGCTAAGTGTGCTCTTCTGTTTACAATAGTGTAGTTTTTAATGTGCGATCTCCTCGCTTGCATTACTAATACTTAAATGCCATCTGATTATATTTTGCCCTATGGCAGAATCAAACCACTCAGAGACTGCGCAGGATCCATCAAAAAGTGAAATGGAGCTGCTAAATGCTAGAATTTTAAACGACTTCATAGATAAAAGGATTACAATGGTAAGAGAAGACAGTATTTTTGAGGGAGAATGTAGATCCATGGATGGCTATCTCAACACTGTCCTTGAAAATGCAACGTTCAAGAACAAGGAAAATGGAGCTTCGATGAGCTTAAAGACATGTTTCGTCATTGGAAATTCAGTAAAGCACATTAGCATTCTCAAATAAACACTTTTATGCATAAGGGTCTATACTTTAATAGTGTTCAATTCTCCATCCTTAAATCAGGAATGATCAAAAATTGTTAAATAATGCCAATACCTAGCCCCCAATAAATCTAAAAATAAGATCAGCGGACATCTTAAATAAAGGTTAAAGCAGGGGCTTTACTAATGGTAGCAGCCATGGCCTGTTCCACTTTAGAAATTGGCATAAAACTTTTAGGCCTGAGGCTATCGCCTGTATTCCATGCATCTCAGTCATAAGCAGCATAACACTTGGCAAATTCACACTAAACAGTAGTTTGAATGCTTTCATTCCAACATTTTTGTACAATCACATCATTCACTGTTTATTTATACCCATGACATCCACCAAAAGCGAAACTTCAGAAGTAGAACGAAAACTCCAAGAGTTGGTATCGTTCTACAAGTACGAGCCGGAAAAAAGTGCAATGAGAGAGATAATGGCCAAGTTCAAAGCTACTGGCGAAACCACTGGATCTTTAAAGGAATCTCTTGAAAATTCTCAGATTTCACATCTTCTAATAAAGTTCAACAGTGCAAAAAAGCACATTTTTGTGCTTGATTTAATATACTTATGCTTGGTGTATGATGTATACTCCAAGGAAGATGTCTTCAAAATCATTGAAAATCTGTGCAAACAGTCCTGGGACTTGCCATTTAAGGTCAAAATACTGCAGATGAGTTTCTACTTCGTCCGATTTGATCTGACATTTGAAATGTGCTTCAAACTACTGAGCATGATTGTAGAATCGTTTGTTGTTGAAGACCCAAGCATTGATCTTATATCCAGACCTGTTGTATGCCAGGTTATTGAGAAAATTTTGTCGAAAAACATGTTGGAAAATGAATCCTACACGCGCAGCAATGAAGCAGAGAGTGGCACTGAAAACAACTATCTATTGGAGTATGGCCATCCAAGGAAGCTCTTTGAATTCCTTTATGACAATATAGTTTACAAAAAACAAACATTTCCGTCTTATATTTTATTGTTGATTATGAAATTTCCTAATATTGAAAAGCACCCTGAGTTCGCCACCTTTCTTAAAGATTATTTTATTGAGTGCTGTTTGGTGATTTTCAGTAAAGGAAAAAACGATGATAGGCTTCCAATGTTTGAAGCTGTTCTAAAGGTCGAGAAATCGTTTTCATCCTTTGCTTCCCTCAACTCTTTCTTTGAACACTTTCCTTCAATCTACAAAAAAAACCCCAAATGCGATTTGATGCTCAGGTTCCTATCATGTCTTTTTCCAATCAGGGTTGAGCTATTAAAGTTTCCCTTCCCATCGCAACTTTCTGCTGTTCTTCTTAGCTTTGTCAAGGACACAAATTTTTCACTCGCAGAGTCTGAAATTTTCTTAAGGCTTTTCGGTGATATTGTAAAAAATTTGAGGACTGAATTTGAAGTTGACGGTATTATAAGCTCCATTTTTGATAAGATTGGGGGTCTATCATCAGTCACCACAAATATTAACATGCTCTATTTTGATTCTCTGAAATACTGTGCCAAAAATGACCTGCGGGATCTTTTTGATAAAGGATTGGTCTGCGGATATGCATGCAAACGTGAAAGCTTAAAATCAAAGCATGAAAATGAAAAGCCCAAGAGCGGGAAAGCTACACCAGAAAAGCATGAAGATATGAAGAGTATAGTAAGGATGGGCATCAACGCAGAAGATAACAGCCAATATTGCATCGAAGAGATTGACAAATTCATATTTGACACTAAGGATTATATGGGACCATCGTGGAGTATATACTTTGATAACAACGGTGTATATGAGCTAGAAAGACTCAAAGAGTTTTCAGAAAAGAATCTTGAAAGTTTTATTGATGCTGTACCGCATGGGATTGATCTGTCATTGATGATTTTTGAGAGCTCGGCGCATAATTTTCAAATAGACAAAACGAACGAGACAAGGAACGCAGGCTTAGCATTGTTTGAGAAGCTTCTTTGTAAGATTTGCAACCATGAAACTTTGTTTGAGATAATTTTAAGGTTTTATTTATTAAACAGCGGAGTTGTTGCCGATCCAAGCCCCTTAAGAATTTTATTAAAATATTTGAAAAGTAAGACGGTAGAAAATGATGAAGGCTTGTTCATAGCCAATGAGCTTACGAATTTAATCAAGAATCTAGATCTTGAATCGATGAATATAAGGTCGGCTTCATTGCAAGGTGATACTAGAGGCCAGCAAGAAAATAGTGCATGCCTGGGCGTTAGCCGCACAGTAAGCACAAATGCAATGGAGAGTGTTAGCATACATGGAGAATCAAATAGCGGGATTACCTTATGCAAATTACAAGGTCTAGTAGTTAGCGATCTCTACTCATTTCTCAGCAAAGTGATCGAAGCTACTAAGCCTGAAAGGTGTTGGAACGAAATATTTAATTTATTAAGACTAGGGCACGGTTTCTTAAGTAATAAACTTGACATTATTCTTCAAATAGAACAATCCTTTATTTCAGTCTTAAATGAAGAGCATCTTGAATCTCTACACGTCTGCCTTATTGAATCGTTCGTCGAGCTTGTAGAATTCGAAAGAAAGCATGATGACAGTACTAAAGAAGGGCATGCTTCTATAGAGCAGCTGTATGCCAAGACTCTCAAGGCATTTGATGCATTTATGAATCATCTATCTAAGGAGTTTAGATCCACGCCAATTTGGCGCAGGGCAGTCTTATTTTCTCTAAAGTTAATCGACAACGGCAGATATTCAACTCGTGCCGGGAAGAACGAAAACCATGCTTCCAAAGTGAAGTTAGATGCATTCTCTTCGCATTTTCTTGAAGCATTCTTTAGTTTTTTAGGCCGTAATTACAAAGAGCTGTCAGAGTCTGAAGTTTTATTTCTCAACGAAGTTCTTTTCGTAATTATATACGAAATGAAAAGCAGAGATATCGTTTTGGAGACACTGGCTCGTCTTGCATCACTGCTAAAAATGTTTCTACTTAAATACAGAATGAGTGAGCTTGTCGGGTACATTACTAAAATGATATGTGGGGAGGATGAAGAGATAGCAGCCGCCTCTTTTGAGATACTAAGGATTATCTCCAGTAAAGTAAAGGAAGAAACATTATTGCTTGAGTGCGCAAAGGTTGATAGTCGACTGCACAATCCAAAAGATACTGCTGTTGATGATCATACTGTTGAAAAAAGAACAGTATTAAAGTACAAAGGAAAGAAAAAGAAAAACAAGGCTGGAAAACACGCTTCAGTTATTTCAGCGGAGAATAATAAAAACTCGAAGATAATCTTTGAAAAAGAAAAAATCGACTTTAACGCTTTGAATTCGGCAAAAGAATCAGAACTGGAGTCAAAAATAGATGATAATCGGCTTGCAGACCCAGAAGTTATGAAAACCAGAGTCTTTAAGGGACGACTTGTGACCATTCTGACCGACTCGTTCAAGAAGATACTTTCTGAATGCAGTCCCTTACGATATTCCATTGTCTCCCAAGTATTCCTGGAAATACCGTCATTCATCTTTAGCACTCTTGAAATTGCAAGCCTCTCTGAATACCTTAAAAAATACGTGGAAATGCCAGAACCCTTCCGAACAAATGCAATAGACTGCTTTATCAAGACATGCGGGAGTTCCAAGCAGTTTTCGTTCTGCCTAGAAACTCTTTCGTCCTGGCTGTCTGAGAATTCAAAGGAGACGTCACTGAGTCTAATATCAAAGATTGGCGAAAATCTACAGAGAGGAGATTTCTCAAAGCTGACGGGCTTGAACAACTTCCTCGATTATTCTCTCCAGTTTTGCAAATCAGATGATTTCCTAGACCTGTCCTGAACTTAATTGCTAAGTGCGAGTGCTCTTTTGATGCTCCTACCGTCAAAAAACTGATAAAGTTTTCACAAATATTTATTGATGGGCAAATGGAAGTTCCATATACAGCCACCCGGGAAGAGACACTTGCAAGTTACATAGCTTTTATCACCAACATTGTCAACCAGCACACAGTAAGTTATAAAAAGGCAAACTACCTCAAAACCAGCAATGACCATCAAAGTGGAGAATCTTTGCTTGTACAGCCATTCCTTAGTATGCTAGTTTGCATCACAAGAAAAAGAGTGGCATACTTAAAGCTAAAGTTCAAGTGCTTTGAGATTCTGTTTCATGGTTATTCTTTCTCAAGGGATGTGTTGAAAGAGGAACTTAAAAGAATCTTTTCCAGCCTTGCAAGCACTTTTCTGAGACAGGGATTAGGCATGTCTTCGTACTCAATCATGGAACTGTACCATATCTTACAGTTGTTGATAGACTTTAATAATACGGAGTTGATTAATGACCTGAAGCTTGAGCTGACTGGGCTGCTTCTAATTAGAGACAACAAAACTGTGGATTACGTTAGAATATTGCTGAAAAAGATGTTTACATCCAAATAAATAGACACCATATAAGGTACCGTGCAACCATGCTCGTTGATTTGAAGATAGTTTAATCTGTGTCCTATACATGTTACTTTAAAATTTTTAAAAAATTTTATCCTGTCTCTTGAGAGTGCTGTCTTTTTGTGGAGAGAGCGTAGTTAGAGATCTACATTTTATTCTAACGGTTTTACTATATATAACTCCAAGTATACTTGCACTTGACGTGCAATCAATGTTTCAAATAATATTTAATCAGAATAACTACACCAAGATGCATACAGCTTGTAGTATTTTAAAAGATTTTATTTCTTGCCTAGCTTTCCCAGCACGCTGCTCATCATTGAATTTAGCTCATCGGCTGATTTATCCTTTACAAAATTTTGAACCATGTCTTGCAAACTCTTATTTTTCAACAGCGAGTCCATTGTTGATGTATCAAAAGACCCAAGCGGACTGTTCTTCACCAGGTTGCTCTTCATTTCGAGAAGAGCACTGTTTTCAGGCTCAAATGCAAGGCCCTTCTCAATGTACCCACTTGCCTTGGCTCGATCAGTCTCTGTATATATAATTGCCAGTCTTATGTAGAATTTTACGAACTTTGGCTCAATTTCTATGCCCAATAGGCAGTCCTCAATGGCCCTATCTATCTGATCAAGTTTCATAAAGACCAAGGCTCTATTCGAGTAAACTAAGTAATTGGTTATGTCGTGTTCGAGCGCCTTGTTGTACATTTCCAAAGATTCGTCCAGCCTTCCTTCTCTAAAAAGATCATTTCCTCTATTTTTCATCTCTTCAGACTGGGCTTTCTCTTCGGGAGCAGCTATTCTGCTTTTCAACTCCAACTTCTTCAAAATAAATGATACCGTTTGCATATCTTCTTTGGAAATTGCCTCTTTGTTTTCTTCAAAGAATTGTTTTACATTCTTTAGTTTGTCTATGACTGTGTCTGCCATTTCAGGGATAAAATTTTTATGGAACAAAGGACTGGATGCTTGTAATTGGGCCATCTGCATTGAAAATATAGCACTTTTCTTGTGAGTAATTTCTTTTCCCCGTGAAAGTCCGTTGCTATATTTTGCAAAAATAAAGGAGGCCTATGAGCAGATTTGGATGGGCTTCGTTCTTCTCGAAGTTTGTGGTAGATCCTGCAGATAACCAGTTCACATTGCAATATGTCACCGTTGTCGGTGTTATGATGCAGTACATTTCATTCATTTCAGCCATAATTTACGAATGGGTATTTTCAATCTCCCACTCCACTGAGATTTCAAAAAGTTTGAATGAACTTGGCTTGCTGGCTGATAAGCATAGAGAATGTGTCAAATCTTATCCATATACTGTTTGTATTATTTTTGCAGCGATGATAATAGAGATGAGCTCTCTTTACATTTTAGATAGAGTCGTTAAATCTATTACCACTGACGGAGCTTTCGTGCTGGAAATCATCTACATCTTTTTGACCGAATCACTGGCATTATCAACAGGCAAGTTAGTAAGAACTAAGCCCATTGTAAATATTTCCAATCCATCTGTGTTTCCCCAGCTGTCGTTGGATATAACCGATGATTTTATTCTTATTTTTGTGACAGTCTATATTCCAATATTGCTTAAAATGAGGCCATTTGTCCAAGCGGCATTCCTGGCAGAAGTACTAAAAATACTTGCAGATTTTTCCATTCTTATCTTCCTAAACAATGAAGATGTGATTGCGCCGAAGAAGAGTGCTGTATTTCTGGATTGGGAGCCACTTGGCGAAGATCTTACAAAGCAGCTACTGAATCTATTTTCAAAGGTAGAATTTAATAAAGATAACTGTAGAGTTATCTTCTCATTGGAGAAGTACATCAATCTCAGCTCTAGGACTATTGAAATACCGCCCGAAGCACTGCACTTCTATGGCAAAGACGCTTTGGTAGGATACGTAGCCTTTGTCTTGGCGGAAATAGAGAATGGAACCACACAAACACTTATAAGCGCCACGATTATGTCGAGGATTGCCATCATTGTAGTACTATCACTACTAGTTCGTAAAGCTCTAACTCTGGAAAAACCGCTTCTTGAAATTATCAAAGCTGTTAGGATTGCCAGAATCTTGGAGTTTTCCCTAAATTTACTAGTTAATATTATATCAAGGAGATTAGAGCTTGCTTGCGACAGATTTGTTGTAGACCAGGGACTGAAGGACAATCTTCTGGAATATATTAAAAAGATAGACCAAGACCCCGAGATAGAATTTAGTTCATATTTTACAGAAGCGATGACTATATTTTCACAAAGGAACTGCTTGAAGGATCGAATGCATACAATACTGCAGTTGCAATAGTCTATTCTGTTCCACTTTATACTATAAATCGCAAACAACAGATTATTGACAAATAAACAAGATTTAATATTTGTGTGTTTGATCGTTTGTGACGTTGCAATCCAAGACGTACTATAATGAAGTATTAAATGATGATTGTTTGCACATTAGCTGATGTAAAGTTCAAGCCACATTCACCACCATCCATTTTTTTCATGCTGCAGAGCGTACTCAAAGAGTGTTTTGTAGTTGTGTTCCGAAATAAAAGTGAACACATTCATCTCGTTTATACTCAGAAGATATTTTTCATACTCGAAATCAGTGTCATTCAAGTGCCTGCAAGCCAACTTTGAATCTTCTATAAACAATAGCAAACCACTTTCCGTCAATTCGTTGATTAGCTGTGTGCCATAGATTTTGTTATCGCATTTAGTAAACTCCGAAAGGTCCTTTGGCTCAACAAGCTCCAAATTATTAACTTTGATCTTTCCTGTCTTAAAATCGGCAAACTTGTCAACCTTCATTAATTTTAATATTTCGTTATATCTTGCTTCGGTTAGTCTGTAGTTTCCTCTTTTCGAAGCAATAATCCTTGTGTTTTTGCAGAGAGCATCGCTGCTTTTGAACCCAAGAATGACTTCAGAATCGGTTCCAATAAAAGTTTTCAAGTCTGCCTCAAAGTTTTTGTCGTAAAAGGAGTTTTTGTAGAGAAAATCGTCCAAGAATACTTTTCTCGTCTTTTTGAAGTGGGCATGCTCACAGTCAACGACGTAAGGAACACATCCAATCGATGTTGTTATCACATAGTCTATTTTTGGTGCATGCCGTTCATTCACTAAATTCTCGGACGGATTTTCTGAATTTAACATATCTAAAAATGGTTGCTGAGGGCTAAAAACTAGACAAAAAGCAATACAGTACTGGAAGATTATCAGCAAAACAAACACAATTAATAATACAAAAATAGGCGTGTAATAATGTGCGGTTTAATGTTGATAAATGCTTGCATCAGGACTGAGTGGCAGGCTACATTTGATTAAAGTCCTTAGGCTCAAAAAGTATCCTCCGTGGCGGCTTAAAAGTTATGTGAGTCTTTAAATGGATTATGTCATCCAGGAAGTCAAATCTTTTTCTCTTTCCAATACGTTCTACGCCTCGATTGTTAGGTTCAAAGTCATGAAGCTTGTGCTTTGTACTAAGCAATTCATCTTTCGTTAGAATATCATTCGGTGGCCTATTTTCGTGTAGATACATACATTCATTATTCTGGCAAGGAATATTCTTCAGATAGAAGCTGCAGTACTTTGTTGTCCCATAGGTGCATCGCAGTATTTTACCATCAAGCATACTCTCGTCAACTTCCTGAATGCACCATTTCGCCTCGTTGTCACTATTGAACGTTATATACGCACTGGCAGTAGATTCAGCATTTTTAATTAGGTCACCCTGCAACACCTGCCCTTTAATACCAATAGCTGTGGGTTCTGCCGTACACCTAAATGGGTCGCAAAAGTGGGTCCTTTTGTTAATAATAATCTTCTTTATGCTTCCGAACTGTCCAAAAAACTCGTGCCTTTTTAACGCCTCCTCTTCAGCATATTTCTGAGGAATGCCAATTACATACACTAAATTTCGTTGGACTACTCGTATGTTAAAGTAATCTAAGATCTGATTTTGCATGTCTGGGACAAAACTTTTACAGGAATTAAACAGCAGATAAAATTTATCAGACAAGAAAAGATGTGCGGAAAGGCACAGAACGTCTAGAAAAATAGAAAAGCAGGCTTGTTGCAGCACAAAGTCGGATCTGTGGCCAAGTTGTCTGTTATGTTACGGAGTTGTATAATTTCGAAGACTAGGCTCCAGTTGTGGAACCATGCTTAGTGTGACATAAGGCAAGGCTAGCCCATCTGGCTCACAACTCCACTTTTGCAATGCGATACTGTTTCTAAGCAATAAAATAATTAAAACACCCACATGTATTAGAACTGGCCGCAAGTAGAGATAGCCAACTTTGGCGGATATCACATCAATTCAATGGAGCCACAAGTAGAGGCAGAAACAACACCCACGATCAGTTTTACATAAGAATTAAAACTTAATAAAGCATAAAAAAAGCATCAATTAAAAGCTTATTAAATATGCATATGGCATTTCAACCTGCAGCCCAGTCTAGCTTCAAACGTTGGGAAATACTGAAGATGCCTCACTGCATCGGTCAATACAGTGCTTACTAATCAGTGTTCTGGACCCCTTAATGTTTGGCATCTTCGACTACGACAGCGAACTACTTTTCAATCCTGAAGGAAGAATAAAGCAGTTGGAATTCATAAAAAAGACAACAGAGCTGGGAAATACAACTGTTGCGCTGTGCAACTCCAGAGTTGGAGTTTTGATTGCGCATGTTCCTAAAAGAACAAAGCTTGCTGAGCCCCAGCAGAAAGTGTTTGAAATAAACAACAAGACTCTTTTTACATTTTCAGGAATAACGAACGATGGGCTGTCTATTGTTCGATACTTGAAGAACCAAAGTGTATTCGAGAATGTCATAAAGGATAGGGATCTCCATCATCTTTACTGCTTTGATTCGCTCTGCTTTGATGCGGCACTCCGAACCATTTACAGCTCAGACCGACTGTACGGTGTTGCTGGAATATTGATGACAGACTTCAATGGAATTAAGGTTGTGGAGTTTGAGCCAGTTGGCTACGTGCGCGAGGTAATTGGTGCTTCTATTGGAAACAAGTCACAGTCGTGTAGAACTATCTTGGAAGACGAGGCAGATGCCATAAAGAATGGACAGGAAAAAGACCTGATAAGCTTGGGATTGAGGGCATTGAAAAATGCATATCCGGATCCTGACGAACAGGCCCTGAAGCAGGAGGATATTTACATATACGTGATGGAAGAAAATAAAGGAATCAGGATAGTTGATTCTGGGTTTGTTGAATTTGAGTAAAATTTTAATTCGATATTGGAATATACGATATGCTTCTGAGGAAGCTATATATTTAAGAAGGGTCAGCACAATATCTCTTAAAGCGTTTATTATGTTACTAGAGTACAGCCCTCCTATGCGATATAAAATTTTTGCAAGCACGGGTTGGCATTTAGGGATGTTGAATTGTGTAATGGCAAGCTTTCCTGTTTTATCTTTGAATGTGCTAGTACGGCTCTTCTATCCCGTTAAGTATTATCTCCCAGCATTCTTCGCTTCCGAATATTGAGTCGTGGTTATCGTTTTCAGTAATTTTCAAGTAACAGTTATTTGAGAGAATTGATAGCTGTATCGAATGATCGCAAGGTACAAGAGGATCCAGCTTGCCATGAAATAAATATATTTTGCATCGTATATTCCCGATATGCATTGCATTATTGTATTCAAAATCACCAGGAAGTAGTATTCGGATCGATGGAAACAGTCTCATCAGCATTCTATATATCCTAAAGTTCATCAGACAGTCAAAAAGAGTAGTAAAACTTGAGAAACAATAAACGTTTTCTGGGAAGAATTCGCACTCCTGGTCCACGAGATATCTACAATACTCAATGATTACACCGGTGCCCAATGAATGTCCAATAATGCTTATTTTCTCTGCTTCAAAGGTCTCCTTTAAATATTTTATGGCTGCATCTAAGTCATAGTTGACGTTCTTAACGATAAACTCACCTGTTGAACCCCCAAACTCCCTGTAATCAATCATAAGAAAGCAAGCGTCCTTATCCTTGTGCTTTCTTAATTTGGCTAAATCTGCAGCATCAACCCTGTCAATGCCCTTTCCATGGCATACCACAAAGAACTTTGTCTTTGGAGTTACATCATCAGCTTTGATTAGCAATCCCCAGATAGTCTGTTTATCTTGTGTGAGCAGTTTAATATTCTCTATGGATAGTCTTGAATAGTAACTCGGCGGTTTATTGGGAATTTTCAGAAATAGATCTTTTATTAGCTTCTTTATCCAAATTGCCATGAAAGAACCTTAGATATGCTTTATTTATGTTTTGTTCGACAAATAAGAAGTTTGTGTCAAACCATAATATTTGGATTGTTTTAGAACTCTATTAAAATATTTATTGAAAAGCATATGCACAGGCTCTCCATTCTTGGATATGATCTGCTAGTGCATACTAGATATCTCTTCTTTGGGTTTGTTGCTGACACTTAAAGTGATCCTTTGATTGATCAAAAATGAATAACAACAAATGCCACATCTGATCGAAGGCCCGTGGTGTTGATCCGCCATCAATGCATTTATATTCAAAAAAGTTTTCTCCCTTTACAATGACCGAACAAAAAATCACACCATGGACAGTGGAGGCAGAAAAAGATGGTGAAAAGATGACTACAATCAACTACGACAAGATCATCAGCCAGTTTGGGTGTGAAAAATGCACGCAAGGCCTGTTTAGAGAATTCCAGGAAGCAACGGGAAAACCTCTGCATAGGTTTCTAAGGAGAGACTTAGCTTTTGCACACAGAGACTTTGAAAAAGTGATTGAATGTGCCAAAAAGAATGAAGAGTTTTTCATATACACAGGAAGAGGGCCATCTAGCGAGAGTATGCATTTGGGGCATGCCATGCCCTTCATATTCTGCAAGTATCTGCAGGATACTTTTGGGGCGCCGCTAGTCATTCAAATAACCGACGATGAAAAGTTTCTCTGCAAAAACATCACTCTTGATAACAGCAGAGAGTATGGAAGAAATAACATAAAAGACATCATAGCATTTGGGTTTGATCCGGATCTAACGTATATCTTCTCAAACTTTGAGAGTTCCCATGTTTTTATGGAAAATATTTTGAAAACCTCCAAAAGTATATCACTGAATGAAGCAATGAAGGTGTTTGGATTTGATGAGTCAACAAACATAGGAATGATTGATTTTCCGTCCAAGCAGATAGCTGCAGGATTCTCCAGCTCCTATCCATTTTTAAAGAAAAACATGCTATGTCTCATTCCCTGTGCTGTTGATCAGGACCCCTTTTTTCGGCTGGCCAGAGACAAATGCAAAGCACTTGGTGAGCGCAAGCCGGCCTCTTTGTATCTGGGACTACTTCCCGATCTTCAGGGAACAAACAGGAAGATGAGTGCCTCGGATCAGAAGAGTGCTATTTTTCTGAATGACGGGCCTAATGATGTGGAAAACAAAATAAATAAGTTGGCATTCAGTGGAGGAAAGGAAACAGTCGAGGAGCACAGAAGGCTGGGTGGTGATCCTAGTATTGATGTTGCATATCAGTATTTGAGGTATTTTCTCGAAGATGATGAGGAGCTGCTAAGACTCAAGGAAGGCTATGAAAAGGGAGCGATATTGAGTGGAGAAATGAAGGCGTATTGCATAAGGGTTGTACAACAGTTCCTTGAAGAGTATCAAAGGAGACGATCTGAGGTTACTGATGAAGTTGTAGAGCAGTTTAAGAGTCTGGACAAATTCAAAGCCAACCTGAACGAGAAGCTTTCGAAATTTAAAATCTGAGCAATTAAATTTCTGCGTGCATTCAAGGACTCTTGATGGTTTTTATTAGTAAAGAGCTTTAGCCTGTGCTGGGCTGGGCAACAAACACTTTTTCATTTTACCAGTAGTTAAACATAAAATATTAAAAATTAAAACGGCGATCTGTAAAGCGGGGTGGCTAATAAGTAATTTGCCACTTAAAACTACAGCAACCGGGTCATCCATCTAAAACACAAGACTTTAAGAAACTAACCCAATTCCATAAAGATATGTACACTTTATTTAACAGAAGCGAGCCAGGGCTTCGTAGGCCTTTCGATCGTCCTCATCCAGCTCAACTGAACTATACTGGTCCTCCTCCTGTCTATACACACTTTCACAGACGCTGTTACTTCGGTTGACCTTTATTCTTCTCATGCTAACTTCCTCATCACGGGCCTGGCCATGCAAAGATCCATATCCACAGTATTCCCGTTGATATCCTGAAGTATATCCATTGGATGCAGTATCAATCTCAAAGTTGGGAACACTACGGCTCCTTTCTCTTCCGCTCTGCTGTCTTCTCAATATAGAACTATTCCAATAATTCTTAATCGCATTGTCGGTCCTTCCAGGCAGATGCTTAGCTATCTCAGACCATCTATTTCCATACTTCATGTGAAGTTGGACAATCATTTTGTCCTCCTCCTTCGTAAATGGAGTCTTTTTAATCTCTGGATTTAGATGGTTATGCCAACGTTCCCTGCACTGTTTACCTTGGCGGCTACCCATCATTTTAGCCAAAAAAGACCAATTTCGGGGAGTATACTTCTGGACCAGCTCTCTGAGTATCTGATCCTCCTCTCTGGTCCAAGGTCCTTTGTTTACAACGCAGGATCTGGAACAACTTTCTTCCTCATCAGACTCCAAACGTTTTTTATTTTCCATGTTAGGGATAAAATGTTTACAAATTTTAAATTATCAGATTTGGAAACCACCAAAATATTCTGATAAAGGAATCAATCAGTAGCGTACCAGGGAGTTCAAGCCTATACCCTAAGTGCCACTTGACACTGCTGTTTTCAAAAATAACAGTTGAGGTTTAGATAGAGAAGCTTAACATCCAAAGAGCTCAGCCATAAATAAAGCATTGAGAGTGCCAATCTACTATTTCACAGTATTTTTAGGAAATTAAACACACATTTGTTATAAAACCATTATTGTCCACTGATCTATCGTCATCTATGTATGGATTTGATAGATCTTCTTTTTGCAATTATCGTTATGCAGTCTGCCATGCCAAACGTCCAGGATGTGTATTTGAACACCAGTAGGACCAATTAACATTCACAGGAGGCAGGACAGTCGTCTGTGCGATCCAGAGCTGTGATCATTTATCAGAATGCAACAGTTTTGACAGCATTTGAAATATTTTTTGAACGGTCAGTCGGGTAAAAATAACCGAAAAAATTTTAGATACGATAAGAAAAGCCGGAGGATTCAATACAGCAGCATTCAAGGTGCCAGCATATGACTCCACAAAATACACAATATGCTTTAAAGTGCTGAGCCTTGTGTCAATTCAATTTAATAAAAGAATAGATTGTAAAAATCTACGATTTCATCCATCTTCCGGTTCCCAAACTCACCAAGCATTGCAAAAAGGCCAATAAAATTCCAAAAGTAATATTAAATTTTGTTTGGAAGCTGGCAATCTGGATCAACGTTGCCAGGTGAAGGGATAACCGCACTCTGTGGACGCAAAACCTCCGCTCGAAGGGCTTTGGATGAAGGACATGTGCCATTCTTCTTTTTAAGATAGCTCTTTTGGGCCGACAATCGGTTTCTGATTAAAAGCGCCATCTTTTTCTCTGAAACATTAAGTAGAGGTCTCTTCATGGGGCAAGAAAACAAAAAAGTAAAAGCGCTTGGGTCCGTCAAGAGACAATCGGAGCACATGCAGACTATTCATGGAGCCACGGCATAAAATACACATCAATCTACTTTCGGGATTATTTCAAAATCGTTTCAGGTTTATTTTTAGTGGCGACACCATGAACAAATAATGGACCAGGACTGCAATATTAGAGAAAAGTATTGTAGTAATGAAGACTATCCAGTGGTTCTCTGTATTGATGAATTTGGATTCATTGTTAAGAATGCAGACCAGCCCTTTGCTTCCAAGCCGATTGCTGACAACAGATTGACCAGAAATGAATGGTATGATCTCCTTGATAGATATGAAATTGATTACTGCCAGTTTAGCGAGCACATTCTGCATAAAAGATTGCTCCAAAGAGGAGTTCCTATTCTTCTGAGAGGAAAAATATGGAGAACTGTGCTCTTTAAAGGCAGGGATAGCTACGCTTCAAGATATCTTGGCATACATGAGGGTCTATATAAGATAAGTCTAGACCAAATATACCACAAGCTTGGGCTGGACTCTGCAAAATTAAAGCAGCTACAAAGAATTATTAAAAGGGACAAATACGTGGAGATGTGCCAGAAAACTTGTGGATACGAGTACCAAATACACGTGGACATTCAAAGAACATTTCGACACCACTATTTGTTCTCAAATAGCTATGGAAAGGGACAGACCGAGCTATTTAATATTCTAGTTGCCTTTGCAAACAAGTTCAAAAGAGTAGGATACTGCCAGGGAATGAGCGATATTGCAGCAGTATTTTTGATGCAGTATGAGGAGTTTGAGGCGTATGAAATGATGGCAACATTTTTCAAGAAAAATAAGCTTTCATGTCTTTTTGACAGTAATTTTACAAAATTACCAAAATTAATTAAAATGCAGATAAAGCTATTGCAAAAAGTAGCACCAGCAACATATGACTGTTTGAACAGATACTTAAACAGCATAGAAATACATCTTGTTACATGGTATCTTACTTTCTTTACTAGGTTCCACATCCGGCTGTGTCTAAGAATATGGGACTATATGATGTACTATGGTTTTGAATATTGCCTGTACTTTGTATGCGCTATTTTCAAAGCACAGGAGAACAGGCTTAAGGATTTGAACGAGGAACAATTTGTACAGTTTTTGAGCAGAATTGAGCAGGAAGTGTTTGATGAGAATGAAATTGTTGATCTGGCAACGGTTTTTATGGAGAGTCTTGATCTCAAACAGCTGTAGACAAGGATGCTTGGCTTAGATACAGCGATGGTATCTCATTGCAACAGGCTGCGGCATCTATTGTCTCCAAGAGCATATTTCTGTGTATGGACATCCTTTTTCAATCATACCTAACAGTCACACCTCTTGTGGATTAAAATTTTTAATATCTTAAAATGGTATTGTCCTGTATTTGTTGTTTATTGCTAGCTCTATTTATTTGTCTTTTAATATCATTTTTATTTGCCAAAAATCAACACCCCAATGCTATTCAAGGAGCTGTCATTTAAAAGATCAATAAGGGTTAAACTAATAAGCCTAAAAGTCGCCAATGAGGATAATCTGCTATCCGCTTATGTTATGAGCAATGTCAGAACAGTTTTCATAGACTGCTTTGAGTTTGAAATTGAACATCTGCACCAGGTCTTGTTTGAATCACTGAAAATCATGTTCTTCAAGCCATCAGCAACCTTAATAGGTGATTATGATGTTGGTGGCGTCTTTATCAATCTAAAGCTGCTTCTGGAGTATTTTGATAGTTCCAACAGAAGCGCCGTTACATTTGACCTTCAGGTTTTTAAAGGACCGGAGCTGAGCACAGCAGAGTATTTTGAAAAGAAGTACACGACCATTGGTAATCTTTGTGTTGAGATATCGCATAGCAAGCCATCAATTGCTAGCTCCATGATGTCTAAAAAGCCTTCATTTTTTGGAAAGCTAGATTGGATTTTTGAACAGTTCAACAACAAATACATGGCAAAGATTCTGTGCCTCTCGTTTCAAATACAACAGGGTACACTGCTATGCAGGATCAAGGCAATCTTAGGATTCCTAGCTATTCAGCTTTTTTCAAAGAAGATATTTCCCAACTGCGGCGGCAATCACAAGGATGAATGCGCAGATCCGTACTGCTTTAAGAACTACAATCTGCTTATAGGCAAAAAGAATGCGAGGCGGCTGCTAAAAGCTCTTTATTACTCCTCGGCAGCGTATGCTACCTCGGCGTTTCCTAATTTTGGACCCAAAAAGCTCAGAAATATGAATGGTATTGCAGACTCTGCGGTCAGATTTGTTTTGGAGCGAGCATTGATTTCTGAAAGTGATATTGTTGAAATACACCGTGGATCCTTAAGCTCCGTTGGATTTGTTATATTTTTTGACCCCCTTGATAGACTAGTAATTTCATTTCGAGGCAGTTGTTGCAGGGATGATGTATTCAAAATACTGGATGCAGGCTACGTGCCCTTTCTTCACGGCTTTGCCCACGAGGGGTTTTTAGCCCTAGCGATCAACTTTCTCAACGAAAAGATTAGTTTGATCTTAGCAGAAATGAAGAAAAGAAGGTGCACCTCAATTCTATTCACAGGGCATTCGATGGGTGGTGCCATAGGCATAATGTGCTATTTGATACTTAAGAACATGCCCAAGTTCAGGAGCAAACAGCTCGATTTTAATGGCTCAATTAAGCATCTAAAAATGACAGTTATTGTCTTTTCTGTGCCTCCAATTCTTTCAAAAAACCTAGTAAAACAGCACTATCCAGAAATAGAGGTTATTAACTACGAAAGCGATGTGGTGGCCCGCCTTTCTTATGGGTCTGTCCTGGACTTTAAATATCTTTGCGTTTCAGTTAGCTTCGCAAAGGAACTTTTTTCAGGATTTAATAAGTTTTTAGGGAGGGTGGAGATGATAAGAGAGCACATAAGAAAATCACAAATGCACGAAAAATTGTATTGTCCAGGGAAAATAATGCACATAAGAGCGGGTACGATCGAGTCCAAGCCAGTGTTTAAATGTAGGGAGGTGTCTCCGGAGTACTTTGATGAAATAAGAGTGGACATGAGGAGCATCATAGATCATTTAATGTACAAAGTGGGAAATGCGATAAAGTATTTTATAAATGAGCAATAGTATCGCATAATTGCTGGCATCGCCTGTGCTTGACCACGAAAATAGGAACATTGAAAGAGACAACTCCAATCAACCAGATGTGCCTGAAAGTTTTTGCCTATTGAGTGGAAATGCTTTGTAGAGTAGCAGAATCTATCTTCTTTACAATGAGCTATTTCTACAAAGCAGCCGTCTGCTGCCAAAAGCAATGGATTTGAAGAATAAACTTCTTAGCAAGATTTTAAAGAATGCGATGATGCGCCAATTGAGTGGCCTTCTTCACTCAACGCCACCGAGTTTTGCATAGTCGAATATGCTTGCCAATCCTGAGAGTACTTTACAAGCAGATCTCTTGATGAATGAATAAAATGCTTTGCCTAGCACGGTGGCGCAATGGTAGCGCGTTGGGCTCATAATCCAAAGGTTGGTGGTTCGAATCCACTCTGTGCTAAAGCAAGATGTGGTGTATTTAAGGAAGCGAACCCGTTGGGATAATCAGGTTTTGTATTGTGCTTGGCATAAAATTGTCTGTATGACGTTGAAGCCACCAATATAAGATTGTATCGTTAAGTTATTTAATAAACTTTAGAAAACTTAACGTACACAAACTCAATGTTTCAATAAAAAACATATAAACCAAAACTAGCTGTGAAGTGTTCCTAAGAGTCCTGAGCACGCTTTCTAAGACTGATGAACAAGGAACATTGAACTTACATCTGGGCGTGGACCTGTCGCTTGTTGTCTCAAGGCCACAGCACTGGAATTTCCTTTGAACATATTCCTTCTGCACAGCCGAAAGGGCATTCCACCGTTCGTTCATCCACAACACTCTTTTGTCAAGTATTCTATTGGATGATATGGCTAATATGATCTGGATATTCATAAGCGCTGAAAGTGTAAGAACAAAGAGGAACACCTTTGTCTTCCTCTCTGAGTTAAGACAGTTGAATCCAATAAATCCGTTAATGATCGAAAGAATGCCTATGGATGTAATAGGAAAGAGATATTTTGGAGGTATTGGAATGAGTGAGTCAGGTCTTACAAATAGCAAGTAAACTGTGAGGAGGGTCAGCACACCTGAGAGGATGACAGTAATTTGCAAAAGATGAAAGATAACCTTCACGCTGGTTCTTACCTTTTCAAGAGCATACATAGCAAAGCATACTGAAACAAATAAAAATCCATGATATGTTTCAAAGTGCAAATAAAATGTTTCAAGGAAAACAGGTAATTTCCGTTGTTAAAACAGCCCTTTGAAGTGCAAGGTGTTTAGTCACATGAAGCACATTGTATTTCTTTCTGCCCGCACATTTCAGGATTTTGAAGATAGCCATTTTTAATTACAAAAAGACTAGAAGCATAAATTGAAAATAAACATTGAGGTCTCATTAAAATAGTAAATTAAGTTTTACTTTTAGAAGCTGGCTTGAATCCGCCTTTCCTCAAAACTTCAAAGTTCGTAGCTGGCAGTGCATTAAGCTTCTCAACCTCAGCTCCGATCTTAGAGTCAATATCGGCAACAAATGCGCTTATTTTCCCTCGCTTCTCATCAAACGACTGCTGGCTTTCTGCCTTCTTCTTGTTGAGAAGCTCAATAGTCTTATCTAGGGACTCAATGCTATTTGGAATCGGTATTTCATTTTTCATCAGGTGTGTTACCAAATCAATATCTAGTGAAAATACACCTGATTTTTTCACTTTATTAATGGAATATATCAAAGAGTCATACATCTTGGGATCATATGCACTCTGTTCATTTAGCAGGCTCTCCTTTTCTACCTTAAGTGCATTGATGGTCTTTCTGATGCCATCCTTCTGCTCTTCAAGCGATTTCTGGACCATTAATTCTACCTCAAACTTGGAATACTCCTCTTCCATCACGTGGATCTCCTCCCTCTTAGCATTCCTAACTTTGGATAGCTCCGACTTCTGTGCCTCAAGAGAGGCAATCCTATTCTTAAGTTTAATAATCTCTGGCGACTTGACTTTCGAGCTCTCAGCAAGCTTATCAAGATCTGCTTTTAGTGAATCAATAACCACAAGCTTTTTTCCAAGCTCATTGCCCAGCTCACTAAGTTTCTTTTTGAATTCCTTTATCGACACTTCAAGTGCCTCAATGGTCTTGCTGTTATTCTCCATCTCCGAGAGCTTGCTCTTCTGGGTTTTTAAGCTTGCCATGCTGGCTGCAATCTCACTCTCCTCCTTTGCAGAAATACTGGTTGATATCAGTTTAAGCTCAAGATCTTCTAATTTTCTATTAATTTTATCAATAGAATCGTATCCGCCTTGGACCCAGGATGTAGCACCTTTGAGTGACTCAATCTTGCCTACCGCATCCTTAATAAGGTATTGATAGTTTTTTCTTTCTGCTCTGATCTTCTCTACTACATCCTTTGCTTCCTTTAGCTCACTTAAAATCTTTGCCTTAGGAGAGTTACTCTTTTCCTGTGCTATTATGGCGTTTATCTTATCATGGCATGCTTTTATTTCTGTCTCCAAAGAGCCAATATCTTCGGAAATCTGTTTAATTTGCGTAAGAAGCTCTCTCGTTCCAGGAATGCGCTTCCTTTTTGTCTCAAGCTTCTGCATGGGGAAATTTTTGCAAAAAATTTTAAAAGACAAATCAATAGAAAGGAAATACAAGACATAAAGTAATATTAGTTGCCACGTATATTTAGAGCACAGTGCCCAAATTTTAATGACATATGGTTATATAAGGCTAATGCATAGACACGGGCGGAGCATACTTATGCTTCTGTCGATTAATCATCCATATTACCTCGCATTCTTTTAACTAAAGCTGTTTTAAGTGGCATGCATATAAAATGCAATATATAGTTTGTCGGCGAGGAGCCAGATAAAGTAGTGAGAGTTTAGACATGCCAATGCTATTTATGAACCAACCAGAAATATTAACTTTATTGGTCAAATATTGAATAAATAAACCAGCTTTTGATAAGCTATGGATAGCCAAAAATGGATGATGAGGCTCAGCGAGCTTCTCTCAAATGCAGTAAATCTAGAACATCAAGCATTTTACTTTTACTTAGCTGCAGGCATACATTTTGACTCGCCCGCAATGTCTCTTTTAAATCTTAGGGATTTCTTCTATGGTGAAAGTGATGACGAGCTAAAGCATGCCAGGATTCTCATTGAGTTTATAAATCAAAGAGGACTAGGCCTAAAGCTAGAGAATATTGCAACTGAGGATCTAAAGAGCCTTTCAATTCAAGAGATCTTTGAAAAAGCCGAGGCATTCGAACAGGCAGTGCTGGACCACTACAAAATGATTCAAAAGGAGGCCGATGAAGTAGGGGATTATGCAACCACTCAATTTATTGATTACTTTCTGGACAAGCAGGTGAGAGAAGTCAAGGAGTTCCATGATAGAGCCATGAATGCACGCCGATGCAGCTGTCCTTTGGGCGAGTTTATATTTGATCAAAGCTTTTCCAGGAAGCAAAAGTTAAAGAAATTTAAACAATAAATTAAAATACCTTAAAATGCAAAAATAACATGCATAGTCAGCTAAAAATATGATATGTTTTGCACTTGTTTAATGGTAATGAGTAGTTTATAGTTAGCTACAGACATACATACTCGGTCACAAACTAAACATAAAACCTGCAGTCTTTCCCCAGACCTGCCATTTTTGCATTTAGTTGCTAAACAGATTTTGCTACCCCAACATGTCAAACAATGTCGTGCTTCACTTTGTTCAAACAACTCCACCAATCACCCGTATTTTAGTATTCTTAACAATCATAGTCTCCCTCTCGGTCTATTTGGATCTTCTCGCACCCCAGCAGATAAGCTACAGCAGGTTTTATCTCAAGGACTTTGAGTTCCACAGAATATTTACCACGTTCTTTTATTATGGAAGAATGAACTTCGAATTGGTGATGAATTTCATATTTCTTTACAGATACAGCTCCATGCTTGAAGAGTCATATGGAAAGACGTCGGAATATCTCTACACCATTCTTCTAATATTCTTCTGCCTGTTCTTCACAAGCAATGTCTTTTACGTTCCATTCCTAGGAACGTCTCTTTCAAACACAATCACGTATCTTTGGACCAGAAAAAACCCGCAAAGCATCGTTCAAATATTTGGATTTGTTAGTTTTTCTGCCTTTTATCTCCCCTTTATCTTTCCAGTTGTAACCTTAATTTTCGAAGGAAATGTGTCAAAGGATGAGATAGTGGGAATTGTCGTTGGGCATATTATATTCTATTTCACAGAGGTGTATCCAAAGTTCGGAAAGAACTTTCTCAAGACACCCTGTGCATTGCATAGGCTGTTCAAAGAAGAGTGTGATCTGTGCTTGAAGAAAGCGCAGCCGGTAAGTGTACTAAAGAAGAAAATTGAAGACTTTCGTAAAAATGGTAGTGCGTCTCTGGAAATTCCAGAGCATATTGAACCGTTAATCTCAAATACTGAAAAGAAGAATGCTGACAGCAAGGTAGAGCTTAATGGCGATAGATTGACTTCAAATGAAAACGTGGAAGCAGGCGAGGAGTGGGAAGAAGCCGATAGCTTAAACAGTGAAGAATGTGCAAGCGGCAGCTTGAAGAGTATCGATGACAACCTAGCTGTGGAGGACTCGAAACCGAACAAAGAAACGATAGATCAAAATCTAGATAAGGCACAAGGCAGTGAAATAGAGAATGGCATCGATCAGAATGAAGATTTCGAGTCTGGGGAAACTGCAGATGACCATATCGAATCAGACAAGGAACTGACGGGTCATGGGAAGGATGGAGTATCTGATCAGAGTGAGGATTTGGGACATGGGGAGATTGTGGATACAGATGAGGATTTTGAATCTGAAGAGCTGGAATTATTGGGCAGAAAAGATGAAAAGCATTACTCAAGTGAGGACGAGCATTCTTGGCAATCATCGTAAAATATTAAAAGTGCTTTTTATCTTCAACAAGAACTATTTCGTTTTTAAAGCAGATTCTTGACAGAATTTACCAGCCATACAAGCTATTTTAGTACAATAATATCAGGCCCACAGACGCCTTGACTTTAATTTAGGTATTTATTGGAGATGGCCTCGTACATTCACGTATGAAGTTAATTTTTCATACACCTGTACTGCACCAAAGTCCAGTATTAAATAGAAACTGCCATTGTTTATTTATTTATCTCTCATTTGTTTTTGGTTTGTTTTCTCCTTTTTATTTCGCCTCCAATTTTTTATTCCCCTGGAATATGCTGTATAATAGAAGCTACAGTGCACCGCCAGTTGAAAAATTTATTTTGGACGATGATATTGAGCTGGATGAAATACAAAATGCATTGGAATACAAAAATTACTATAAGAGAAATAAGAATCCACGGCTTGACCCACCAAAGTTTCTTTTTTCCGGACAATCATCTATCTGGGCTTCAGAGCACAGTGACTTGATTATTAAGACATTCAAAGAAAAGAAAACAGCAGTAGAAATGATAGACTTAGAGTTTCCAGAATCTGAATCTTGCTCTGAGTTTTACGGCACAAGTAGAACGACATCTCCAGTTGGCGACACTTCGTTTGTTCTTCTCAACTTAGTCCAAAGGAGTGACTCCTCAATAATGATACCAATAGCATGTTCCTCCCAAAAAACCGAGAAAGCCCGCACACTAGATGATATTAAAGATTTCTACTTAAAATGCGGGCTTGGGTCTTCAACCGATTTGTCCGACATCTGCATTACAGTTTGCAAGGACCAGGAAGGATCCAGATACATCCAGGGCTTAATGGATACATGGAATGCCGATCAAATAAGTTTATTTTTCGATCGGATTGTTGATTCTTCATTTGAGCTTAGCATGAACCTTTTTGGCAACTACGTTATTCAGAAGATCATTCCACTGCTGAATGAGAGTCAAATATTCAGTCTAATTCTACAGTTTTTCGGCCATATCTATGAGCTGTCCCTGCATGTCTACGGCTGTAGAGTAGTACAAAAGCTGATTGATAATTTGAGAGATGTTAAGTCAGTCGTGGCAGAGCTGGAGTCCCATATTCCCGAGTTAATTGAGAGTCCGAATGGAAATCATGTCATTCAAAGATGCATAGACAAAGATATAGACAAAAGATTTTTACTAAAAGAGTTTGAAAAAAACGGTGTTGGCCTTGCACAGCAGCGCTATGGTTGCAGAGTCCTCCAAAGACTGTTTGAGGTATGTAGTGAAGAGGAAACCTGGAGCATTTATCTGCAGATTATTAAAAACATAGATATTCTGATCAATGACAAGTATGGGAACTATGTAATACAACACTTTATCGAGTCTTCGAATAAACATAAGGATCAGATTTTTAGCTTTATTATTAAAAATTCATTTGATCTGAGCAAGGACAAGTTTTCATCAAACGCCGTTGAGAAGTGTGTGAATAACTGTTCCAAGGAGCAGCTGGAAAGCTTGTTCAAGGAGTTTTCAAAAGTTCATGAGAATTCCAGGCCCTGTCTTTATTATATGTGCATTGATATGTATGCAAATTATGTGGTCCAAAGGTTTTTTGATGTGGCGGATGAGGAGTTGAGAACGAAGGCCAAGGCATTGGTAAAGCCTTATATCAAAGACATGAAGTGTATCCCATTTACCAAACATATTTTATCAAGACTAGCATAAATGTAAAAATAAATGGTCTACCCGGCAGTGCATATTTATTTTGTCATTTCACTGTTACTTTTGAAGCTAGTGGTTCTGGAAACCAAATCGCAAGGTGCTCAAGGCTTTGTTTGAGTAAGCAAAATGGCTTGCCACTTGGGGTGTTTTTAAGCTGTTGTGAAATTTCTTGAACATAAAAATTTTGCCCATGACTGAGCAATACTTTAAGCCAGGAGATTTGGTTTGGGCAAAATTAGATACTTATCCGTACTGGCCAGCAAAGATAGCTTCACAATGCATTACAGATGAACTTAAGGCATGCATGGGAGAGGAGGGTATTGCGGTTCTATTTCTTGGCATTGAGCTAACATATTCATTGGTAAATAAGGACTGTATAAAAAACTTTGAGGAATGCTTTGATGTGTACAGCCGAGCGAAAGTTAGAAAGACATCTAAGGATGATTTTGAAAGAGCGCTGGAGATGGCAAAGGTGGCCGATACAATTGAAGAGCCCCCGCTTGAGCTAGATGAAGAAGAAAGGATTGTAAAGGCAATAAAAATAGACAATATGAATGGCAAGGAACAGCCAATAGAAAATGTTAAGAAAATGAAGAGGTCAGAGGAAAAGAGCGGAGGAGCAGCTCCGGGAAACAGAAGCGAGACCATCTCTAAAATGCAAATTAACGTTGATACGAAGATGATTACTGTTCAAGAAGCATCTAATGAAGTCAAGAATGAAATCAGTGTTGATGAGAAAGTGGCCACGGCTGAGGTTGCACAAAAAGAGAATAAAAGTAATACTCAACACGAGGAACATATTGGCTCTGAGCAAGAAAACGGGCGAAAGGGTAAGATTGTGGAACAAGCCAGCAGTGAGAAAGAAAACCAGGATGCAAAGAGTGACGATGTTTCTATGACTGAGGTTAGTATCGATGGTAAACATGTTCTGGCTTCTAACGAGGACGCATCCAAAAGTGGGACAGGATTGAATGCGAATAGTAATTAAAAATTTCATGTTAGCTCGAGTGCAATCAGCAGCTAAGTATTTTGATACTCTTTCTGGTTTTTTATTCTTTTTGATTAACTGCTGGAATTAGCAAAAATAAGTGACAAAGAGTTGTAATTATCTTACTTTAATCTACCCCATAAATGGTCCTACACACGAAACTATGTTTCTATATCCAAATTTAGCACAGTGAATAGGTGTGTTCTTTGTGTAGTACGTACCTAAGCATGCCCCACTTGGATCCGACTTATCCCAAAGTCTAATCGAATTATCGGCACCCGATGAGCAAATGATGTTCCCAAAGTATGAGAATGAAACAGAGTAAACAGTCGACTCATGACCAGTAAATTTGATGAGTATTTTGGATGGCTCAATATCCCAAAGAATAACGGTTTTATCCTTGGACCCAGATACCATGTACTTTCCATCGTGCGAAATGTCAACACAAGAGATGGCGTCGCTATGGCCACAGAACACTCTAACCACCTTTGCAGACTCAATATGATGCATCCTAATCTTATGATCTGAAGACCCAGTAAAAAGATAGTTGCCATTTGGATGGAACTTAACAACCGTTACATCGCTGAGAGAAGCAAGAAACAGCCTTTCTGGCTTGTTGGATTTGGTGCACCATACAATAGCCTGCTTGTCGGCACCACCGCTGGCAAAGAAGAAGTCGTCTGGAGCAAAATCAACTGTCCAGATGGGGAAAGTGTGGGCCTTGTACACACATATAGTTTTAAATAGATCGAGAGACCACAGCCTCACAGTCCCATCGGCCGATCCGCTAATCAAATACTTATTGGAGGAACAGAACTTAAGACTATAGATAGGACCTGAATGCCCAACTAGCCTTACGGTTTCTCCCATCTCTTCAAATTTCTCATCTTTTCCTTTGATATCAATTTTGCTTAGCTCTGAAGAATTTTTTAATTTCTTGAGAGAAGTTTTAGACAAACTATGAACATCGATGTACGAGTCATTGTATCCACACGCAAGCATAGTTGAATCTGGAGATATCTCAGAGCATGTCATGCTCTCGTATGTATTCTGGACAGTATAGCAGCAGATAGAAGGGAGATAGTTTTTATTGAGGGAGACTCTTTTGCAAAGATCCTTTAGCTTCTCAATCTGAGCATTAATCTGTGATGGCGACGGTTTGATTTTTGAATCCACTTTCCTTGATTCTCTCTGCTTTTTCAGCTGAAGCACGTAAGTCTCCAAATGGTCATACCTGTACTGCTCCGAGCAAGAATGGACTCCTCGCATTCCGTGCTAACAAGAGAAGTGTTCAGATCAAGCGGGCAGCTCTCAACATAGGCGTCGATTCCCATCTTTTGCTCTTCAGCTCTGGGACCACTTTGTGCCTTTATCTCCATATATTGATTCATTATCTTTAAAATATAGATCAGGTTGTTTTCTTCTAAGAAATTAATCAATAAATCATATGCATACCTTCCCATCACAACGAAATACTTATTGGTTCTAAAGCCAATAACAAGAGCGTTTTCATGCATATGCTGCGGCGAGTTGATGCTTTCAAATACCTTCATTTCCTCTATTTTATCTGGAAAAATTTCCTTGTATAAACCGAAAAACTTTTTGGCGGACTCAATCTCATCTTGGACTATGAGGTCAAAATAAATATGGAGATAGACGGGATAGAGTAGAGGGAGAAGGTCGTTCTTGAAAAGATCGAGCGAGTCTTCAATCCAAAGCTTTAGCTTGAGGAAGGAGTCCTCCATCTTGAAGTTTTTTAAATCGCTTTGAACTCTTGGGGACGGCATCATAGGGGCTTGCAAGTTACACCAAATGGTGTGCATTACAATACAATATTAAGCAGCTAGTGCTCCAACGCATGCCAGTAATATGCGACTGCATCAGGTACCACAGACTTGTGTGGTACATTGACATAGCTTGAGGCTATTTGGCCAAGCATAGCCTGTATAATGTGTGCGATATAGCCTATGTGGCAGTTGTAAAGATAATGCATATCCGATAGCGTTGGCCATCATGTCATATTACTCGCTCGTTCAATGGAAATATCATATTCCTGGAGATAAACAAGCATAGGAAACCAGAAGTTGGTGCATTGTGCATTTCTTGTATGAGACGGGTTTTGAAGAATCTACAATAAAGAATGCATCGTCTGTCTATGCTAGTGTGAATTGGAAAGGTCTTTAGCATTCTGCAAATTTTGTCTTGCCTTTTTATTTCAAAATATTCTTCGGCTACCCAGATGTTCTATGTAAAGCGCTTTGTGCACAGGCTGAGTCTTCATCCGCAATATCTTGGCCAGAACATCCAATCCCTCATTCAGGAGTACCTACTCAAGAAGGTGGAAGGCACATGCACTTCTTCTGGCTACATAATCTCAGTCCTTGGAATAGATGGAATAAGTGAAGGGAAAGTACTTCTCACTGGGCACATTTCTTTTGATGTTGAATATCAAGCAGTCGTTCTAAAGCCAACAAGTGGCGAGATCGTAGATGCGCCGATTGTCTCAAGCACGAAGATGGGCTATTTCGCTTCGGTTGGGCCACTTTCAATCTTTATTTCAAACTATCAAATACCAAACACAACTCTTGAGGAACTAGGAAACAACAGTGTTGTTAGGCTCAAAATAATAGGAACTAAAATAGACAGTACAAAGGTATACGCAATAGGAACATTGAACGATGACTTTCTTGGCGTTATTTCGTAGTTATATAAATTTTTGCATATAAAAGGTTATTTGGCGTTGGCGAATGTTAATTGTTAACTCTGCATATTGGCAAAATATCAAGCAGCGAATGAATTTGATGACCCAAAGTCTTTGGACACAGCCAAAGCATGCATGTTAATTTTAGGCTACAGCTGATATATTTTTTATTTAAAAACATCCCCACGTCATCCATGTCAAGCTACTTCAAATGTAAAAAACTAGGTGAAGGAACCTATGCAGTTATCTACTTGGCAAAAATGGTCGAACAGGGAGATTCTAAGCTCGCAAAGACAGACCCAACCAACTTTGTAAGCTACGTTGCAATAAAGAAGATAAAAAAGACAGAGCACAGCACGGGACAGGAGATTAGTGCCATACGGGAGATAAAAGCACTTAAACGGTTGAAAAGCCCATACATTTTGGAACTAAAGGAATGTTTTATTCACAAGGGTTTTCTTCACTTGGTTTTGGAGTTCTGTGAATTTGATCTGGAGCAAGTTGTAAAGAATAAGTCCATTGTAATTTTGCCATCTGATATTAAGTCATGGATGTTCATGCTGTTAAGCGGACTGCTGGAGTGTCATAAAAACTTTTTTATACATCGAGATGTAAAGCCAAATAACTGTCTGATTAAGGCAGACGGAACCTTGAAGCTGGCCGATTTTGGATTGACCAGGAAGCTTGACGGGAAAATGACTGAACAGGCAATAACACGGTGGTATCGTTCGCCCGAGATGTTGCTGGGTGCCCAAGCATACTCGTTTGCAGCTGATATGTGGTCTGTCGGCGCAGTATTTGCCGAGATGTTCCTGAGGGTGCCGTTTTTTGCAGCTGAAAATGATTTCCAGCAAATGGAGCTTATTTTTAAGGCCCTGGGGACTCCTGACGAAAACGAATGGTCAGAAATCCGCGATCTTCCAGGCTATTTTGAATACCAGCCAACCCATGGTACATCACTTGAACAGCTGTTCTCCGCTGCCTCTGACGATGCTCTTGATTTGCTGAAGAGACTGCTCGTGTTCAACCCAAACAAGCGTATTACGTGTGTGGAAGCATTGGGCCATAGATATTTCCTGTCTGATCCGCCAGCCACCCCGATTGGCAAACTGCCAGTGCCTTTGAATGAAGAAAATAGGTCAGGATCACAGAGAGTAGCTCATTGGCAATATTCCTTAAAGTAGAATACACCATTTTACATCGGACAAACAGACTCAAGTTATGTGTGACTGTCAGTTAAATACACCACGATTGGTCCAATTCAACTATTTTATAATTTATTGGCAGAAGATAGCTATCTTTAATTTTGGTAAAATTTATTCATTTATTTCAGAATTGTTCATTCCCACAAACCTAACTTTGGCAGATGCACCAACTCCACTCTCCTCAGCTTGTAGATTGTCTGGGATTTTTTTCTTTTCACAGACCTCTTTACCAAATCCAAAGTATTCCTGGCATCTTTCTTTTAAGAATCCAAGCTGGTTAAGGTCAAAGTCGTCAAATTTCTTTCTCAAATCTGCGCCTATTTTAGACCTTATAAGTCTCATCTTGGACTCATCCTCGTAATCTTCAAGTTGAGGTATTTTGGGCTCAGGATTCAGCGAGAAAAGTTTATCAAATGAAAGCTCGCTATTCTGTGCTTCAGCCACGTTCCGATTGGCCACGGAATTAGATGTGCTGTTGCCTGAAAAATTAATTGGAATACTACTTGATCCATTCAACGACCTAGTGTCACCAAATAGAGTACTTTTAATATTAAATAAATCATTTTTAATCTCACAGATCTTTTCCATTTTTCTTGGTTGCTCAAAAGAACTGTTGAACAGCTGCTGGGACGTCTTAGAATACGGCACATAGCTCTGGCTCATCATCGCGTCTTGATATGGTACTCTTCTGTCGGCTGGATATCCGTTATAGTTGTAGATCGTATTGTCTCTCCTCATATCCCTTTCCAGTGCATCACAGAAGAGCGCATCGTGTGGAACAGAATACCAATAGAATACTTTTTGCTTCTTTTGTGTCCTGATGCACCCATTTTTGTACAGAAACTCTAGAAATTCTGACCGTGGCCTCTCCAACGATGCATCAATACCTGGCTTCAAATTTCTCAGATCTGAAAACACGCCCTCTTCAAACTTTTTCATATTTCCCAACTGTCTTCCTGAATTTTGAAACCTCCAAACTAGTATCTTGACAATATCCGTGCCAGTGATGTAAAAATGGTAGTTCCATAGAACACAGTGAATGTAATCTCCATTCTTCAGTTGGAACTTTTTTGATCCTCTCACCATCCCTAAAATACTTAGGCGCGTTGTTGAGAAAGTCGTGCAGCTCTTCATCACCGATTGATTGCAACTGTGTCAGTTCCATTGTTTTGATATAAATAGTAGTATTTATTTTCTTTATTGTTTATTTGGTTTCATAACTGTTTTATATTTGTAAATATATTTCTGTTATTATATTTTTAGAAAAATAAACTTTCCTTGAAAATATTTATCTTTGAGAAAATAAACCACAAAACGAGTCTGAATTCTGCCATTCCCAGCTCTAATTTTCTCTTGTCTCAAAAGTATCCCTCACACCACTGATTATTACTGCTAGAAGTTTATTTGGCCGTACTACTCTTTGCTAAATTGCCTGTAATCTATATCTTGATTCTCAGCGCCCTTCATTTGTGTTTTCGATCGACTCTCTACCTATTTTTGAAAAATTTCCATCCCCACCATGAGCACCAATAATACTGGAAAACTAGAGTACTTAAATTCCATCGAGGATTTTGAGCCTGCGACAGTCGACGTCGACCACAGCAAGAAGAGCCATCTGGTTACGTTTCCCTATCCGTACATGAATGGAAAGCTGCATCTGGGACATCTCTTTACGCTTAGCAAGGCTGATTTTGTTTCCTATTTCAAGAAGCAGCAAGGATATAATGCGCTGTTTCCATTTGGCTTTCATTGCACCGGAATGCCAATCAGCGCATCCGCCTACAAGCTAAAAGAAGAACTCGCCGGTAGACCAGTAGATGTGAGTGTCGTGGGAATGCTACGGGGACTTGGGTTCTCTGATGTTGAGCCCTTTACGGATCCGATTCACTGGGTTAGGACGTTTCCAGGATATGCCATTGAGTCCCTTAAGAAATTCCATGCCAATATCGATTGGAGAAGAACATTTATCACGACTGACATTAATCCCTATTATGACAGCTTTGTGAGGTATCAATTTAACAAACTGAGGAGCTTGGGTTTGCTCAACTTTGGAAAGAGGTACTCTATCTACTGTCCCATCGACAATCAGCCATGCTTGGACCACGACAGAAGGAAAGGCGAGGGCATCAAACCAGAGGGCATTGTATTAAGGAAAATTGAGGTAGAAAACAAGCTAATATTCCTCATAAGATGCAAGAGCATCGAGCCTATTGAAAAGGTGGTATTTTTCAAAAACAGAAAAATCGTACATTTTAAAATTGGTGAGACTGGATATTTAATTGAGGAAGATCTTTTCCAAAATTTGAAATTCCAGGTTGATGGTGTCAAGATTATCAAGGAGCTTTGCATTTCGGATTTAAAGATGAAGAAATTGAGAATTGAGCTGATAGAGAAGGAGATTCCCGGCAAAGTTGTCGTTATAAGTTTCCAATGCCCGGGAAGTGCAGATGAATGCGGAGAATATAAAAGGATTGTAGATGTAAAGAATGAGCGAATTAATATTGGTAGAAACAGAAAATTTTGTCAAAGTCTTTGTGCCAGAAGATACTGTTATAAGCAGGTCAGGAGCAAAATGCGTTGTTTCGCTTCTTGATCAGTGGTATATTGACTACAGCATTTCTGAGTGGAAGGATAAGGCCAGGAAATGCGTTAAGAGGATGATATTGACGGACGATACGCGGGCTAAGATTAGTGAGCATTTGGAGGGATTGAATAAGTGGGGATTCAGTCGATCATTTGGGCTTGGAACCCGGGTGCCATGGGATCCACAGTATTTAATCGATTCTTTGAGTGACTCCACAATTTATAATGCATTTTATACCGTTAAGCATCTGCTATTTTCTGATATTGAAGGAAATGAGGAGATATTTCCCAAGTCTGAACTATGCGACGATGTTTGGAAATTTATTTTCGGTGATATTGATGTCTTACCCAACAATCTCATGGCATATGAAGACATTCTCAAAAACTGTCGGGATAGCTTTGAATATTTCTATCCAGTCGATGTCCGTGTGTCTGGGAAAGACTTGATTGGAAATCATCTTTTGTTTTTCATTTTTAANCATGTTGCATTGTTTGATGAGAAGTATTGGCCCCGGTCAATCTTTTCCAACGGTCACTTGATGCTGAATTCAGCGAAAATGAGCAAGAGTGATAATAATTTTTTGACTGTAGAAGATTGTCTTTGCAGGTATGGGGCCAGTGCTACGAGAATGTGCCTGGCCGAGTGTGGAGATACAAATGAAGATGCCAATTTTCTAGAAGCAGTTGCCAACTCATTTGTTTTGAAGCTTTATACTCTAACAAAAACTGTTGAATCTCTCGAAAGCACATCTGAATGCGATGAAAGTCTGCTGTGTGAAATGGCGAATAGAATGGCACTTGAGCCTGAAGCCAGGCGTGCGTTCTTTGTTAATGAAATGTTCTTGCAGTCCATTTCCCGGAATATTAGAGAGTCCTTAAAAAGCTACGAAAAAATGGTGTTTAGAGACGTTGTGAAGTATGGATTTCACGAGAATGTTAATCTGATGGAGCTGTATAAGTCTTTGGGCGGAAGCAGCAACACCTTGGTCAATCTTGGATATAGAACGATCCTTTCGCTGATGTATCCTATAATTCCATCGCTAGCCAGCTACTTGCTGAAGCTCAAGTTTCGAGGTGACTTTTCAATAGCCAAGCCGTACAGAGATGAGCAAGATAAAATCAAGGCTATTGAACATGTAAAGAATGTATGCAGTAGGATTAACTCCCTGAAAAGAGAGAGCACATCTGTCGAGATTAGAGTTACGAGCGAGTATCCAGAATGGAAGAGGGAATGCATGAAGATCGTTGATTGCTGCAATCAGAAATCACAAATTGTTAAACATGTCGATTGCATTTTCAAAAAGTACGGAATACGCAAAGATAATGGAATGAGCTTCTGTATGGACTACTTTGAGTACAAAGAAAAATATGTTATTTCCTTTGATGAGTTTGATGTTCTTTCAATGCTTGCTGACTTTATCAAAGAGTCCTGCAATCTTTGTGTCAGTGTTGTTGAGGGTAATCAGGGAGAGCCCTTGAATCCGACCTTTAAATTCAATAAAAGCACACTCTGATTTCCTACTAATCATTTATGTGCTGTTACTCATCACTTAGAGCAGCATTTGTTTAGACTTTTACCCATTGCCTACCCATCTCCATGCCCGATGTTGCTTTGAAGATATTTGTCAGAAAGGAATATACCTATCTTATACTATTGGTTTTCTGTTTGCAGCCCATCTTTCATTTTTGGTTTTTTAAGCCCCTAGCCATGTCCAAAAAGATAAACAGCGACTTTCAATGGCTTTTACATTTGGCCGTGCTCAGAACGGTAATAAGAGATCATCCGCAGGACTACACTCGTTATCTAAGTGATATTGGCAGGGATATTGGAAACAGACTGGCTGATGATTTTTGTGCGCGATTTTCGATTTATGGAAAAATCCAAAACAAAGATGTTGAAAGGTACCTAAAAATATTTTTAGAGTTTTATTTTGGCAATGACCTTGTTACTGGCAACTGTGAAGTCCGGACATCCAGCTCTATTTTGAAACACCAGGGAGTTCCGGGTGCTGTTATGTTTAAGGAAATATTTCAGGAAGTGTTTGATAGTTTGAATGGGAATGTGGTGTTTGCAGACTCCAACGATAAAATACTGTTTACTTTTAAAGAAGATCAAGACGCAAAGAATCATTAATACGGGATTGCATCAAAACTCAATTCTAAAGGATATAAATAGGAGATGCTTGCTTCACAAATTAACTACATTATTTACCCCATCATTTAAAGAAACCAGTTAATGATGCAAAAAGTTTATTCATGCGAATATTCTGCTACCCACGATAAATTGCTTCAAACAACACTGACTCGACCACACATCCATATTAATTTTTATTATTTTATAAATTCATGCCCCTTTATACTTTAAATGGGCGATAGGAGTGAGCCCTTCACATGTCGACTAATAGCACAACGGAAACCAGAATCAAGAAGGAAATTAAAATGATTATGAAAAGCAAATCAAAGGAAATTAGCATACACCCTTGTGTTGATGACGATATTTACAAGTGGAAAGCCATCATGAGGCCATCCGACACAAGTCTGTACAGGGATACAGAGCTGGAACTAGTAATATACATTCCGGAAAACTACCCATATGCACCTCCAAAGATCGCATTTGTCACACCGCTGTATCACCCAAATATTAACTCAAGTGGAAATATTTGCATTAGCACGCTCTCCAAAGATTGGTCACCAGCACTAACCATAGAAAAAACACTGATGAGCATAATGAGTATGCTGGACGAGCCAAACCCAAGTGACCCACTTAGACCAGATGCTGCAGAGTTATTTTTATGTGATAAAGAAGCGTACGAAAAAAAGGTGCGGGAAGTCTGTGAGGCAGTGCGGCAAAAGAAGCAAGACAAAAATAATTAAATCTTAATAAGGCATATTTGAGCTTATACACGCCCGGTGCATTTGTTTTGTTTATATGGTAGTGGCATGCCAAACATCGCGCATATTAATATGTACTGTCTGTCGAAGCTGTTACAACAGTATTTATAAGCGAGCGCATGGCATGTGATTTGATGTTGTGTAGAACAATACATTGAAGAGTTGCTATTATAGTGCATTAAAAGTGATAAACTCAAGTCTTTGCGATTCAATTTGCTGCTTTTCAATTTCGTAAAACTTCTCAACACCGTTGTACTTAAACATTAATACCCCATTTTCCAGAAACAGGCGTTTACATTCGTCCACTCTCCCAGTCTTTGCATAGAAATCTCTTAAATCTTCTAAATAAAACAATCTTTTTTGCAACTTGCACAGGTGGATAAAGTTTTTCATAAGCTCAGGCTTGTAAATTACAATATAAAACATTTGATCAGCATTTAAAGTCTTGAAGTCAATATGGCTATCTAAAAGCTTCTTGGAGTCGTCGTCCACCTGTCTATAAACCCTACACAGGATGGTTTGGTGGTCCTTGTGCTGCTCTGCAAGTGTTTTTGAGTTCAGCTTCAATCCTTTAATAAAATTTTCAGCAAACCTTATATTTTGATTCGCATTGATATTCATTAGGGCTGCTAGAAAACCCTCTATCTCGCCAGTCTTAAACAAGAAAACTGGCCTAATACAGTTAATAAGCAGGAGACAATCATATATGCTACACTCATTTACATAGTTGTGGACCACAAATCTTTCGGGTAAAATGTGAGCAAATCTCTCCTTTAAGGGTCTCTTTACAACAATATCATCTAAAATTACAAATACAGAATCAGTGCACAGCACAACAATGCAATCAGAAAATACATAGTTGGAGCCACAGTCCTTGTTATTGTTGCTTGAGGATGCACTAAAAACTTGCAACTTGATGCTTGTGCATGTAGTAACATTGGATATTTTGGCTGTATTTTTTAAAACCCTGCAATCATGAAAACTTAAGATAATTTCGCCGTCAGCGTCGTACACAATCTTGCTGTTTAGATCCTGAATTACGAAGCATTTCTCTTCATTGGCTCCACACCTGCTCTTTACATCTGCAGACATA